AGCAAACGGGGCTCCAAGAGGGGGTGTCGCTGGCTGGGCAGGGCGGGCGCGCGGGCCTCCACGTTCCCCGGGAAGATCACAGCCGCTCGGAGCGCGGGCGGGTGCAGCTCCAGAGCAGTGGCTCTGCTGAAACGGGCGAGGACCACACCGCTCCTCTTCCTCGGGACAATGATACCCTTGCGTGGCTCCTGCCGCTGGAGCATCATTGGGGAGGGGGAGAACCCGTCTCGGGGTCCAGTCCGAGGCGCCCGGCGAGGGGATTGGCCGCGCGCGCCGCGCCGGCTGAGTAAGGCGCCCTCTCAGTGGACGGGGGATGGACACGCGTCCCGGCGGCGCCGCGGCTTCCTGGGACGTGTAGTCCGCGCCGGGACCAGCGGAAATCCTGCCAGGCTTTCCCATCGCTCACTCGTGTATTTGTTTTTGCGGTCGGGGCTTCCAGGGAACAGATAAAGGCGACCTCTCCCTCCCGTAGCGGGGCGCGCGGGCCTGGAGGCACCGCTAGGATTTCTTTATATTGTCCCTCTATCCTCCGCACCTGCAGAGGTCGGGGGTAAACCACGATGAAAGGAAGGTCTATCCCTGGTATCTGACGATTGGTCTCCGGGCACAGCCGTCCAGGGCGCTGTCCCCCCCCAACTGTCCGATGGGACGAGAGACGCCAGCCCCAGGGTAACCCGAGGACCTGCATCGCAGGCTGCGCGCGGGGACCTGTGATTGGGATCTGGAGCGACCCAACCCCGCCGAACAGGCTATCAAGGTACCCGGGGCCGTGGGCACCGCCAAAGGGGCTGTCGGGCTGGGCCTGGAGCGGCCCGCCTGTCCAAACGCTGCCGGGGCGCCCGAGAGCCATGGGGCTGGTCCCAGCGGAGGTCACTGCGTCGTCCTGGGGGGAAAAAGCCGCGGGACGAGCTGGGCCGCAGGAGGCAGGCAAGGAACGGGTCATCTCGGGAACAAAGCCGGGTTCGGCGCGGGCCCCGCGCGGACCGGTGCCCATGCCAGGAGCCCGCCTGCCTCCCAGCCGCGCTCCGCGGGGCCCGGGCCGGGGCGCGCGGGGCCCATCCCTCCGCCCCTGTGCGCCCGGCGCGGGGCTGAGGCGGTCTCCGGGGGCCTCCTCCGCCTGCTCCCTCCCCCTCTGCACCTGGCCAGCTGCCCCATAACCCCCATGGCCGGCCGGGGGCTCCGACAGAGTGGGCCTGGGCGAGGGGGTGGTGTGTGATTCCTTTTCTGTTTTCGTTTTTGTTCTTGCATTAGTTTATGATCTAAGCTCGTGCGTTCCAAAGCTCCAGTCCGGCGATCTTTTCTTTTCGCCGGGGGACGACTGCTCCAGTCCCCCCCGGCCCCGAGCGCCCCGGGGCGGGGAGGAGGAGGGCCCCCGCCGGCCTCTGCCCGCGCCCCCTGGCGGTGAGCTCCGGCTTCCGGAGGGAGCAGGCGGGAGGAGGCCCGGCGGACAGCCGGAGGGGCGCGGGCAGGGGGCGAGCCGCGCGTTTTCCTTTCGGCCGGCGCCGTTTTTCTGCCCAAACAGGCTCAGCGCGGCGGGCATCGGGCATCGGGCGGCGCGAAGGTCTCCTCTGAGCCCGAGGCCTCCGAGCCCCGCTGCGCCGCCCGGCTTTGCAGAGGAGGGCGGGCAAGAACACCGCTCGCCTCCCCGGGGAACCTGAACTCGACCCTGGTGGACCCCCGGGAACCATCCCAGGCCGGCCCTCTGCCCGGCGAGGGCTTCAGGTCTGATGGGGGAGAGGGGCCTGGGGGTCGTGGGGAAGGATGCGGGGGTGGGGATGGGGTTGGGGTGCGGGGGACGGAGACCAGAAGCACTGGGGCTTAGCCGGTGTGCGTCCCGTTTGGCATTCCATCCTTTGTAAGGCATTTGCCTGTGCCTGTGTCTTAGTGGCCTAACTTAGAGAATAGAGATCATTATAGTTGTCACATGTGGAAGGCTTTTCTGAAGATGCTAAGTTCTCCAATCCTTAAAATATAACTAGAAAAGAATGCGACCTAGGCAGAGAGTATTCTTACAAATTCTTGCAAAAAACAGCTCAAGTCGTTATGGTAGCGGTGCATGTAGAGCTGGCCATTTTATGAAAACATTTTGTTGGCACACAGTTAATAACTTCTGTTGCTTCTGCCATGATCTTATGACTAAATCATAATTTGATCATTACGTGCTGCAGTCATCAGTAAATCTTAATATAGCATCGTCTCACTTAGACCAGGGAGCTTCAGTTTTCACAGGTGAGAAGGGGGGAGAAGAGGCTCCTCGGATAAAACTCCAGTTCTTAATTGCTAAGGCCACTCCTGATGAGCCCTCCTGGGATCTGGCTCTGAAGCTTGGGTTTGCGATAATGCCTGACCTGATGCAGGCATTTAAGAATAGGTGTTTGTAGAAGATACTTCTATAAACGCTAGACTTGGGAATTCAATGGTCAGGAAAACCAGTCCTGCAAGAGGCAGATATTCCTCATATAAACACACACAAGTATAAAAGTAATATTGCACCCTCGTTAAAACCTGTGATAGAAAGTTGTCTGAGTATAAAGCACATTCAGGGTCACCAGGGCTATTTTGATGAGCAATGAAAACATCTACCCCCCCCCCCCCCAAAGTGACATTTGAAGGATAGCTGAAGGATAAATGGAAATTAATTAAATAAAGAGGGTGAGTGGGAGTAAACAGCATTGAAAGACTGGAAATATGGTCAGTGTGGAGAGAGTGCGGAGAGAGGAAGGGGGAGAGGGAGGAAGAGGTGGGTCTAGATTCGGAGTTTCTAACAGCAGAGGGTTTTAGGCAGAGGAGTTCTATGTTGCATGCTTTCCTTTCTAACGTCCATGCACAGGTCAGATTTGAAATGTCAGTTGGGGGGGGAAGTGGAGGGGGCTAGGAGTGGGAATGGAATTGGGAATGGCCTATAAAAATAGGGACAGAAGCTGATACAAGGTCTGAGAAAACTGAGCTGTGGGCTGTGGAGTGGAGGGACAAACCACCTCTCTGAACCTCACCATCTGCTGAGGCTATAATTACAGGAGAATACAATAATCTGTCTCCATAATGTCTCTGTTATCAGAAACAATTTGTGCTTGGCTCACTTGTACGAAAGCCTGAGGGCACAATAATAGTAGCATCCTGGTCTCACAGAGTTCTCACTGAAGTGAAGAGAAAAGGCAGGAGCAGACAGAAAAAGAAGAAAGTAATAGCAGTGCTTGGGTCGCGGGAGTTGGATAATTTTTACTTTCTCTGTAATATCTCTTGGTACTTTGTAATATTTTTATGTGATTGGTTTTACTTATGTGGTAAAATTTATCAATATTACAGGTTTTCAAAGACAAATTTCCATAAACAGTGGTTTAATAAGGAAGATTGCAAACTGCTTTACATTTACACTTGGCCTTTATTGACAATATAAAATATGCTTTTATGGTGATAATCTTTTTATTTTATTTTGGTAAAAGTATAAACAAAGACATCATTTTGATCACTGACCACTATTTAAAAGCAATCAAATCCAAAACACAAACCCATAACAACAAATTCAGACTGTTAAAGGCTTTATTAATCAATTGTTATGTTCTTTCTGTGTATGTTCAGACAGACACTCTATCCACTGAGCCAAACCGGTTTTGGCTGAAGCAAATCTTGATGGATAAATGGAAAGTAGTAAAGTCATAGTAGTAGAGTCAAAGTCACTCCAGTGACATCAATGGGTAAATCTTCCAGACAGAAACTCAACAAGGAAATAGCAGCCTTCAATGACACATTAGATTAGTGGATTTAATTGATATCTTTAGATATCCGAAAGCAATAAAATACACATCATTTTCATGTGCACATAAAACATTTGCTATGATAGGCCATGTTAGGCCACAAAACAAGTCTCAATAAATTAAAGAAGATTTAAGTCATATCAAACATTTTCTCCAAACACAATGGTATGATAACTAGAAATCAATCACAAGAAAATCAACTGAAAAACACACCAAGATATGGAAGCTAAATAACATGTTAGAGAACAGTGAATGGGCTACCAATGAGATCAAGGAGGAAATAAAAAGATACCTTGAAACAAATGAAAATGACAGCACAACAATCTAAATTATATGGAACACAGCAAAAGCAGTCGTAAGGGAAATCCTATTATTAGAGGCCTACATAAAAAATATATATATATATAGCCCCTGATCACCTTTCTGTCAATAGCCCTGCTTCTGCCACCGCTGACAGCACCGGCCCTGCTCACACCCACTGATGATGCTGAGCGATTGGGGCCAGTGCTGTCAGCGGGTGTGAGCAGTAGGTGGCTGTTGCCCTGATTGCCCCTCAGGAGCAGGGGGAGGTGGAGAAACCCTCAGGGGCAATTGGGGCTGGCAACCACCACTGGCACCCACTGATGGTGCTGAGTGATAGGAGCCAGCGCTGGCAGCAGGTGCGAGCACTGGGTGTGATTGCGGTGCGCAGGAGCAAGGAATTTTCAGTATCCACCAGAGGCTCGCCCCAATGACAGCGACCAGCATCCCGCCTTGATCTGGAGCCCTCCCTCACCAACTCCACCATCCCACCATGGCCAACTCCCACCATGTTCCATGCTCTGCCACTTGCTGCCAACACCTGCCACTTTCTGCACCACCCCTCCAACCCATTTCCAATGGTCAGTGCACATCATAGCGACCTATTTTTCGGTTGTTCTACTGTTAGGTCTATTTGCATATTAAGGTTTTTTATATATATAGATAACTTTTAATAGGACAGATAGTTAATGATAATTATTCTAGGCATATAGTAGTTGCAAAATAAATATTTATGAATTAAGGCATATGACACTTGTTACAATTTTTAGGGCTCTTTGTAGTGTCTGGTGGATTGTTGATATCTCTTTCTCCTCTCCCTTTTCTTAGGAGCCCATTTTGCAGCTCTCAAGTTTTTGTAGAATGCTGTAAACAGTTGTCACAGTTTTTCAAGAAACAAAGAGTTGCAACTTCCTCCTCCCAATAGAACTTTTATAGTTGCATTCAATGCCTAACGATGCAGAAGCAGAAAGGGCGAACGATTCTGGAAATCATGAGCACAAATCTGAGAGAAGGTCTCCTGAGGAGAACCTACAAGAAGCTGTACAGTCCTTCTGCACACGTGCCTCAGGAGCACCCTTGGCTACCAGAGGAGATGGCCATTATCCGTGGAGCTGTCCAGTGACCCATACGCGGGAGAAAATTTATGCCATCTGTTCAGACTACGCCTTTCTCAACCAGGCAACCTCAACCTATAAAACTCCAAATCCATCCCGCACTTCTTGCCTCCCTGATAGTACCTCTTTATCTGCTGGAAATAATTCATCAAGATACATTGGCATCCCACCTAGTACAGCAGAAATCATCTACAATGATGAAAATAGCTTGGAAAACTTATCCACTAGCCTGGGCAAGCTACCTCTTGCATGGGAAATTGATAAATCTGAATTTGATGGGGTGACCTCAAATTTGAAACACAAATCAGGTAAGAAAGGAGACATGAAGTTCACATGTGAAAATAAGAAAACACTGTATCTTGTTTAAACTTACCATTAAATATGTTTTCCTTATTTTTTTTTTTTTTTAAATAGGGAACATTGCTATCATCTTGTCTATTACTGTAGTTAAAAGTTATTAACGGCTAATGTCACTGATTACCCTGCTTCATTAGCCTCTAAAATTCTAAGTGGCTGGGTAAACTTCTTAGGGAATCAAGGCATTATTGGGCAGTGAAAACATCTCCAGAAATGGTGGAAAGTAGATTTTCCATTTTCTGGATCTCTTAAGATTTATTTATTATTAAAGTATATTTGTCATAATGAGATTATTTCTCATTTTTTCAAGCTCATGTTTGCCAATGCTCATTTAGCTCTGAGAAACTTTATGTTCTCTAAAGACTTAGAAAGAATAACTAGAGAAAAAGGGGGAAAACTTGTTTCTAGTATAGTGTTTGTTATTATGACATCTTAGAAAAATTAGAGAAATTTCCTGGATACCAATAGTTTCTAAGTTCCAGCTTGATATGACTACCAAATTATTTCACAGCATCTTACATGAATAAAATGGATCCTTTTCCATGTTGTTTTCTGGGCATATGTCTATATAATGTATGTATCATAATTGATTAATAACTATAAAACTAACATACTAGCTTTTATTTAATTTTTATAACAGATTTATTTCATTTAAAATATAATATTATACATGTGACATTGTTAAAGTATTTCAGCGTAGCTATCTGAAATGTTAATGGTATTTTAGTGAAATGAAGCTCAGATGTTATTAATATTTTAATTGATGTAATTTTTTACTGAATAATACATTAGTATGGCTCAGAAATAAAAAGCGTAAAAATAAACACTTAAAGACAAACTCATTTTTGTCTTGCTTTTGTCTAGCTCCCAGTTCCCCTCCCCTCATTGGTAACCACTATTATTTATCTTATGTGTCTTTTGAGAGAAAGAGATATACACATACACACACAGAAAAGAGACTGCTTTCCACTCTAAATTCCTGGTGCTCAAGTTGCATTTTAATAATGCACACATGTGCATCATTTTTAATTCATTTTGTGGGCTCTATAGGCTTGGAGACATTTTTAAATATCACATCATTGCATTAGTGGATCTAATGTTTTTACTTTTTAACCGAATTACATTAATGTGGTTTTATTGTTTTATAGAAAGGATTCATTTTCTGGAAAGTGCTTTTGTTAAATATTTTACAGTTGGTAATTTGATTTTCTAAATTAAAAGATTTTGTGATTGATTCATGTACTAGCTAAGAGATCAGCTTAGGAATTGGAATATGTAAATCTGATAGGAAATAGCATTTATGGTTGTTTAAATCTGTTTTTATTTTCTCTCTGTAGGTAAAGAGAGAATTTATGAGGATACATTTATTTATTCAATATATTTACAAATATCATTTTTAGACTAGTGGCAGTTACTTTTTAATTTTGTTCAACAATTAATATCATTGTCCTGGCAGTTTACTTCATATTAAGCAGTTTGCTTATTTTATACCCTTACATTCTAGGCAATGTAAAGAAACAAATTTCTAAGAAAAAAGCTTCAGATAAGAAAGGAAGACATCAAAGGGAGTGGCCCCAGCATTCTCCGCTTGAAGATATTAAGCAGCGGAAAGTATTAGACCTCAGACGGTGGTAAGCTCTAAAAATTGATTTTTTTTCTTCCTTCACCACAATGCCAGTGTTATACCTATTAAAGTTAGCAATATTTTCTTAGTATTAAATTCCTAAGTTAAATTTAGATTTCCCAGATTGCTCTGGAAATGTCTTCATACTTGGTTGTTCACTGTGGGACCCAACTATGAACCATACTTTGTGTTAGCTTATAACTCACATGTCTCTCCTTCTTATTTATGTTATTTATGTATGTATGTAAGTATGTATGTATTTATTTATTATGTATGTATGTAAGTATGTATGTATTTATTTATTTATTATTTATGTATGTATGTAAGTATGTATGTATTTATTTATTATTTAATCTTTATTGTTCAGATTATTACAGTTGTTCCTCTTTTTCCCCCCATAGCTCCCCTCCACCTGGTTCCCACCCTCTGCCCTTACCTCTCCCCCCACTGTCTTCATCCATAGGTGTACGATTTTTGTTCAGTCTCTTCTTGCACCCCCACACCCCTTCCCCCCTGAGAATTGTCAGTCCACTCCCTTTCTATGCCCTTGATTCTATTATATTCACCAGTTTATTCTGTTCATCAGATTTTTTTATTCACTTGATTATTAGATTCACTTGTTGATAGATATGTATTTGTTGTTCATAATTTTAATCTTTTCCTTTTACTTTTTCTTCCTCTTCTTAAAGAATACCTTTCCGCATTTCATATAATACTGATTTGGTGGTGATGAATCCTTTAGCTTTTTCTTATCTGTGAAACTCTTTATCTGACCTTCAATTCTGATTGATAGATTTGCTGGGTAGAGTAATCTTGGTTGTAGATTCTTGCTACTCATCACTTTGCATATTTCTTTCCACTCCCGTCTGGCCTGCATAGTTTCTGTTGAGAAATCAGCTGACAGTCATATGGGTGCTCCCTTATAGGTAACTGTTTTCTTTTACTGCTTTTAATATTCTTTGTCTTTGTTCTTGGCATTTTAATTATGATGTGTCTTGGTGTAGTCCTCTTTGGATTCCTTTTGTTTGAGGTTCTGTGCTTCCTGGACTTGTAAGTCTATTTCTTTCACCAGGTGGGGGAAGTTTCCTGTCATTATTTCTTTAAATAGGTTTTCAGTATCTTGCTCTCTCTATTCTTCTGGCACCCCCATAATTCTGATGTTGGTATGCTTGAAATTGTCCCAGAGGCTCCTTACACTATCTTCATATTTTTGGATTCTTTTTTCTTTTCTGGTTGAGTGTTTTTTGCTTCTTTGTATTTCAAATCTTTGATTTGATTCTTGTGATCTTATAGTCTGCTGTTGGATCTCTATATATTATTTTTTATTTCAGTCAGTGTATACTTAATTTCTAGTTGGTCCTTTTTCATATCCTCGAGGGTCTCGCTAAATTTATTGGCCTTTTCTAGAAAATTCTTGAAAAACCTTATAACCGTGGTTTTGAACTCTATATCCAATATTTTGCTTTTCTCCATTTCTTTCATTTATGATCTGTTTCTTTGTCTGCATTTTGACTGCTTCCCTGATTTGGTAGAGTAGCTTTGTATGCTATATGTCCTATAGGTCCTAGTGGCTCAGCCTCTCCAGTTACCTGAGGGCCTAAACGGGCAGTCGGACATCCCTCTCAAAATCCAGAACTGCTGGCTCCCAACTGCTTGCCTGCCTGCCTTCTTGATGGCCCTAACTGCTTCTCCCTGCCAGCTTGATCACCCCCTAACCACTCCCCTGCCAGCCTGATTGATGCCTAATTGCTCCCCTGCGAGCCTGATTGCCCCTAACAGCCCTCCCCTGCAGGCCTGGTCCTTCTCCTCCCCCTCCCCCAAAACTGCCCTCTACTGCAGGCCTGGTCCCACCCCCAACTGCTCTCCTATGGAGGCCTGGGTTCCACCCCGCTTACACTTCTCTGCAGGCCCGGTCACCCCCAACTTCCTTTCTCTGCCTGCCTGGTCATCCCTAATTTCCCTCCTCTGCAGGCTTTATCACCCCCAAATGTCCGCCCTTGTAGGCCTGGTCCCTCCCAACTGCCCTCTCCTGCTGGCCATCTTGTGGTGGTCATGTGTCCACATGGGGGCAGCCATCTTTGACCACATGGGGGCAGCCATCTTGTGTGTTGGAGTGATGGTCAATCTGCATATTACTCTTTTATTAGATAGGATAGAGGCCTGGTACATGGGTGGGGGCTGGCTGGTTTGCTCTGAAGGGTGTCCTGGATCAGGGTCGGGGTTCCCTAGGGGTGTGGGACAGCTTGGTGAGGGGCATGTGGTGGTTTTCAGGCTGGCTCGCCCCCTGGTAACCCAAGCTGAAGCCCTGATATCTGGGATTTATTTATCTACTATAATTGAAATTTTATAGCATTGAGTGGAGGCCAGGGCCTGCCAGGGTGGGAAGGAAGCTTGGTTTCCTCCATCACCAGGGGTAACCCAAGCCTCCTGCTCTCTCCAGCTTTGTATCTGCTGCCATTTAAAAACATATATATATATATATATATATATATATATATATATATACATTTTATTGATTTTTTACAGAGAGGAAGGAAGAGGGATAGAGAGCCAGAAACATTGATGAGAGAGAAACATCAATCAGCTGCCTCCTGCACACCCCCCACTGGGAATGTGCCTGCAACCAACTTATATGCCCTTGACTGGAATTGAACCTGGGACCCTTCAGTTTGCAGACTGATGCTCTATTCATTGAGCCAAACTGGTTTCAGCTGCTGTCATTTTTAAAAATATATATTTTATTGATTTTTTACAGAGAGAAATGAGAGAGATAAAGAGTTAGAAACATCAGATGAGAGAGAAACATTAATCAGCTGCCTCCTGCACATAGCCTACTGGAGATGTGCTGCAACCAAGGTACATGCACCTGACCAGAATCGAACCTGGGACCCATCAGTCCCCAGGCCAATGCTCTAACAAATGAGCCAAGGTTAGGCCCTTCTGCCATTTTTGTTGGGATTTATTTATCTTCTATAGTTGAAACTTTGTATCCTTGAGCGGAGGCCAGGGCCAGTGAGAGGGGGTGGGAAGCTTGGCTTCCTCCATTGCCAAGGAAACCCAAGCCTCCTGCTTGCTCCGTGGCTGCAGGCATCTTGGTTGTGTTAATTTGCATACTTGCTTCTGATTGGCTGGTGGGCATGGCTTATGGGCTTAGCAGAGGTATGGTCAATTTGCATGCTTCTTTTTTATTAGTGTAGATTATACACAAAAATTAACCCAAAATGTATTAAAGACATAAATGTAAGATTTAAAAGGATAAAACTCATAGAAAAAATCATAGGGGACAAGTTTTATGACCTTGGATTTAGAAGTGATTTCTGGGATATGACACTAAAACCACAGGTAACAAAATCAAAAATAGACAAAAGGAGGCTATATCTTAAAAACTTAAAAAAATTATCCATGTCAAAGTAAACAACAAAGTGAAAAGGCAACATACAGAGCAGGAGAAAATATTTGTAGGTCATATATCTGATCTACAGACCAATTAGAAATTTGCACTGAAATTTTTGTAGTTGGTGTCTACATTTATGTACTAGAGGCCCAGTGCATGAATTCATGCACAGGTGGGGTCCAGCTGGCCCATCCTAATGGGGCCCTTTTGGCCAGGCTGGTGGTGGGGAAGGCCATGGGCAATTGGCTGGTCAGTCCTGCTCCCCATTGAGGCGTTGGGGGCTGATAAGGGACCAGGCGGTGTGGGAAAGAGGGGACCATTAGGGCCTGGATCAGGCTGGTTGGCTGCTGCAGTGCGCGTCATAGCCACTGGTTATTCTGGTCAGTCCACCAATTTGATTTCTGGACATATATATATATATATATATATATATACACACACACACACACACACACACACACATACATATATGTATATATATTATTTTCCCCCATTGTTTTTAGATAACATCTATTTTAGTAGTCATACTTAGCTGTCTTTATTTAAGTGCAGACTTTATTTTATTGCACTTGGAATATTTTATTGCAATTGGAATATTGTCGTTATGCATTTATGACACGTTTAATAAATATAAAAATATTTTAAGCGAATAAAGATTTTATCTTGGTTTAAATGATCAAAATTTTCATTATGTTAAAACAGTTTTAGTTGCCACGAGAGCTGCGTTTTTATATATCTATTTTGTATTCATTAACTAAAAAAAAATCTTTTGTTTTTCCAGGTACTGCATAAGCCGACCACAATATAAGACTTCTTGTGGTATCTCTTCATTAGTTTCATGTTGGAATTTCTTATATAGCACAGTGGGAGCTGGAAAGTGAGTATGTTGATTTATTGGTATCTAACTCCCATGCTATTTGGTGTTGCTTTTTCTATAATGGTAAGTTTTTAAGGATAGATTTTTTCATAAATTGAGAAAAAAACTACTGCATTTTGTTTTAAGTCTTTTAGCTAAGATATGTGTGTACATTATTTTTGATAAAATAAAAATTAAAAACATTACCAAAATTTTTTACATATCAGACAGACATATTAATATTAACATTGAGACAGGTTATATTTGCATATGGTTGGAATTGTACAATGAAAGACCATGTTTCTTTTGTAGTCTTCCACCAATTACCCAAGAAGAAGCATTACATATTTTGGGCTTTCAACCCCCATTTGAAGATATTAGATTTGGCCCTTTCACTGGAAATACAACACTTATGAGGTATGAAGCTCTCGCTTAGAGACATATTTTATTTCTAGTTCTATAAAATAATAATGCTGTAGATGCATGTTGATAGTAAACCATGTATGCAGCTGCCAGGCCCCAATGTGTAGTAGATACACCAAACTTGGGCTCTGCCTGAATTTCTCTAGAATTGGAATAATGCCATCTTTATTATGGAACTGTTTCTATGAGCAAATCTTCTTGTTATTTTCAGATGGTTCAGACAAATTAATGACCACTTCCATGTAAAAGGATGCTCGTATGTTTTATATAAGCCTCATGGGAAGAATAAAACAGCTGGAGAAACTGGTAGGTAAACATAGAAGATTAATACACATGTACATGCATGTGTATTCATACATGTTTTAAACCACCTCAAGGATTAGCTGTTTTGATTATGTAAACACTAGACACAGTCTGTTACTTTTACATCTCTTTATCTGAGGGAGAAATCATAATAGTAACCTGTAGGGCACTTTTCAATATACAGTTTAATATTTTTCTTTTAAAATGTTTTATTGATTTTTAAGGAGAGAGGAGGGGAGAGGGAGAAAGAGAGAGAAACATAGATGTGGGAGTGAGATACCAATTGGCTGCCTCACATCTCCTACCAGGTATTGAACCCGCAACCAGGGTATGTGCCCTGACCAGGAGTCCAACAGCCAATCTTTTGTTGTACGGGACGACACTCAACCAACTGGCCATATGGCCACGGCTATAGTCTAATATTTTTAAATATTAGACTTGTAAAGTATTTACATCTTTAGAGCTTTTAGACTTGTAACGTATTTAATAAATACTGCTTTAATAGATTATATTGTTTGGGTCTATGGGTTGTGTGAATGAATGTATGTATGTGTGTGTTTGCACACCCGTATGTGTTGGTAAAACTCAGAAAGAAGTATGGAATTTACAGTTCCTTTTCCTAAAAAGTAATGCAGGGATTTTAGAGTATTTGATGTTAGACCTGCATAAGTATAGGAAAATTGACTGTGAAAGTGACAAAGTTCTATTATGGAATAATCTTGTACATAACAGAGTAATGGAGTTGATTTTAAGGATTGCTTTAGGTACTAATTAAATTTGCGTTATTTTACCATCTCACACCTGTCAGAATGGCTGTCATCAACAAATCAACAAATGATAAGTGCTGGCGAGGATGTGGAGAAAAAGGAACCCTTGTGCACTGCTGGTGGGAATGCAGACTGGTGCAGACACTGTGGAGAACAGTATGGAGTTTCTCAAAAAACTAAAAATGGAACTCCCATTTGACCCAGTGATCCCACTTCTAGAAATATATCCCAAGAAACTAGAAGCACCAATCAGAAAGGATATATGCAGCCCCATGTTCATAGCAGCACAATTTACAATAGCTAGGATTTGGAAACAGCCTAAGTGCCCATCAATAAATATTAATGCTGTATTTTTCCAGTTTTATTCCTGTCTTCATTTTCCTGTTACAATATTTGACTCCTCACTGTTTCTTTGGGCGTATTTTCTGAAGGATGATTTGTCTCCCCTCTCTGGGAATGTTCTTCTTCTTCAATAATCAGTGATCTTGTGCAAGCTCTGCTTTATCTGAAGCTTTCGCTGCACTTTAGAAGCCAATCCCTCTTAATTCCAATGGTAATGATGATTTGCGTCTGTCTTGTGGCATTTGACATATTAGCCCTTTTATCATGTTGCATCTTTTTAATGAGTCTGCCCAGCTCCTAGATCACAGGGACTGCTCTTAGTGGCCCTATGACTCCTTATGTTGTCCTGTGACCTCACACATTACCCTGGAACTTCTGATTGCATTCAGAGGAGAAGTGGTGCCTGTGTTGAGTAAAAGTATTTTCTGTTCTCTCTCGTTGTGGAAGAAAGAGTTGCAGAATTAAGCTTTTCTTATTTGTCTCTTTGATATGCAGTAGTAAAAACCATTGTCAGTTGTTGCTCTTCATTTAAAAAGTACTTTGAAATGTAGCTCCTCTTTTTGTTTCATTTATTATTATTATTATTATTATTATTATTATTTTAGGATGGTTAGACCTGTTTTCCACAATAGACTTTTCATTTTCTTGGGGACTATGTTTCTTTGATTTTATAACACCTCCATTTTTGCTGACATGTTAATTTCCTCAGCTCACTCATGGAATAAAAACAAAATCCAGGGATTTTGACAAAAATATACATTGAAGTATGTTTTTCAGAGATGCAATTACTTACAATAAAAGTTTGTGTTAAAAGTTGTCAACATTAGTTTCAAACTATTGGTTCACTCCTTGTTTTTTTACTTATATTATCACTATTACTATTATTATTCACTTATTATTCAGGAACTTCAAACTGTTGGTTCACTTAGCTACCAACATTTGTGCCAGAGAAATCTAGATTCATTTTTTAATTAGCTAGCTTGACAATTATACTAATGCTTGTGCATTTTTATTCTTCTAGTAGGTATTGTAACTCATTGTTTTTGCTTAACAGAGAATAGCTATCTCTGCCCAACCCTAAAATAATTCAGGTATATCCTCAATGAAGCCACTGCTGCCAGCTTACTGCAGTGCATTAGCTCATCTCACGTGGACTTTGCATTAAGTTTTCATATTCCACATCCACTGTTTTCCTCCAACTCATAATAGACACAAGGCCAGATAAATCTTGTTAATGTGCAGTGCTAATAGATCTCTTTCTTTTTAAAGAGCTCTTCAATGCTTGCTTAAAGCATAAATACTTTAGCATCATTCAAAGCCAATATAGATTGGCCTTCCACTGCTGTCCTACATTTCCCAGTTGTATTTTAAATATTTTCAAGGGTGTAAGAGGCTTGCAGGATATTATGTTGGTGGATTATAAAATCTCATTCTTGTCTTTCAAGGTGTAAAAATACATTCTAATAAATTGTTTTAGAGTTCTTTATAGCCCTTCTATAGATAATCAAGCTCTACAGAAGAAACTCATACTAAACTCAGTGAATATCAGAATGTTGGTATGTTAACTTAGATAAACATATCAGAGATACCAGAATTCTCTTGTTGGCTGATTAGGACATATACTGCAGGCCACCTAACACTAGTGGTGTTTTTCTCCTATGTGCACTTTCTTCTTTGCATTGCAAACCTTTATTGTGGCACTGTCTTATTCTGCCCTATATTAAAGGTACTTGTTTTATCCTTCCTATGAGGTCAGCTTCCCATATTGTGTTATTTGTTTTTTTAGGTGCTCATAAATTACATACTGAATTGAGTTAAATAAGATTTCCTCTTAACTCTAGATTGGTGGCTCTCAAAATATGGTCCCTAGATTAACGTCAGCAACACCTGATATAATATTAGACATGCAAATTCTTGGTCCCCATCGCACGAGTGATCTCTTGTTTAACAAGCCTTGCAAGCTCAAATTTGAAAACTACTGCAGTCTTTCTAAAGAGGTGATATCTAACCTCTTTATTAAGAGCTTGGGAATCTGGAATACTTTCCAGGACATTAAAGTAATCGCTAATCCAGTGCCTACTGCAAATATCTACTTCATAAGACTATGAGGGACATCAGAATGAGATAGTGTCTGTGAAAAGATACAATATGCTTGTTGTTTGCTTCTGTGTTGTTCTGTCCCCTAAAATTTCTCCCCCCCCCCAATATCCTCCTCATCTTTCATGTTTCAGCTTAAACACCACCACCTCCAAGGAGCCATCACTGAATATTAAAGTCTAATGCCTGAGCCTTCTTTAAGCCAGCATCCTATTTATTTCACTTAAAGCACAATTATTTTATTGTTCGTTTCCTCCACTGGACAGTCAGCTCCATGAGGCCAGGAATCCAGCCTGTTCCCTCCTGTCTTCCCAGTGCCTCACACATGGGAGGGCTCAATAAATATGTGTTAAAAATAATTGCTAACTGTAGTCACAATAAAGAAGTGAGCCGTTTTGTATTACATCTGACTTAAGGACGGTGTGAAACACAGATTTCCATTGAAAAGTTATATACAAGTTCTTTCATTACAATTTTAGTCTCATTTGGGAAAATTTTTTATTTGGAATTTCCACAATTTTTTCAATATCTCAAATTTTTTCCTATACTGGTTATGTGCATAAACATTTTTGGACTTATTGAATTTATGAGTAGTCTAAATCTAAATATTTAAATTTGATCACTATCCTAGAACCTATCTGCAAATCAAGTTCAACTATGGAAAGAAAATATTGAGTATCTTCTGAATTTTAATATTACTTTTCATTTAGAGCTTCCCTTGGGTGTCAATTTTTATTTTTATTTTATTTATTATTTATTCTTTATTTTTTTATTTTTAAATAATATTTTTAAAAAATATATTTTATTGATTTTTTTTACAGAGAGGAAGGGAGAGAGATAGAAACATCGATCAGCCACCTCCTGTACACCCCCCACCAGAGATGTGCCCGCAACCAAGGCACATGCCCTTGACCGGAATCGAACCGGAGACCTTTGAGTCCACAGGCCAACGCTCTATCCATTGAGCCAAACTGGTTTCGACTGGTGTCAATTTTTAAATTGTTGGGAGAACCCAAAAAGAAAGATTTATCATTATAAAATAGGTATTTTAAGTAGAAAAGACCACCGTGCCATACATGTATGTTCTGATGGTAGGCCATGAGGCAAAAATCTATGGGAAAGATGGATGAAACCTTAGAGAAAGTTTAAGACAGAAATGGAATTGTTTCTGTGGAACTCATAACTTGTGTGCATCTGCAGGGGTGGGTTGGCTCTGCTACAGCCATTGACCCGCAGTTCTTGGAGTTCTTCAGCTACTTCTGTGGCTAGAAAGTCAATCAGAGAAACCATGATTTGCAAGCTTCCCACTACTTCAGCTATTTTTAGGATTTCCAGATTCAATAGGCTATTGTTATGAATAATTTAGTTTCTTCTAGGAGATGCAGGATACTGAAATCTCAGTTAATGGCTTTAAGTATTAAGTGCTGGTAAAAAGTTGTTGCTTATGGTAATTCTTTTCCCCCCAATTTCCTTATTGATTAAGGTATCACATATTTGTCCTCATGTCCCCATTCCCATCTCCCACCCCTCCGCACTCATGCCCCCACCTCCCTATTGTCTTTGACCACTAGTTAGGCTCATATGTATGCACATAAGTCCTTTGGTTGATCTCTCCCTTTTATCCCCACCTTCCTCCTCAAGTCCAAGAGTTTGATCCATGTCTCCTTGTCTCTGGGTCTATACTTGTTCATCAGTCTATGTTGTTCATCATTTCCCCTAGATGAGTGAGATCATGTCCTACTGGAAATATACTTATAAGAATTGAAAATGAGATAAGTAATAATGGTTATGCTTGGGGGGGGGGGTGGAGGATTGGAATGGGGGTTGAGGACAAATATGTGATACCTTAATCAATAAAGAAATTAATTTTAAAAAAATACCCGAAACTGGTTTGGCTCAGTGGATAGAGCGTTGGCCTGAGGACCGAAAGGTCCCGGGTTCGATTCCGGTCAAGGGCATGTACCTTGGTTTCGGGCACATCCCCAGTAGGGGGTGTGCAAGAGGCAGCTGATTGATGATTCTCTCTCACCGATGTTTCTAACTCTCTATCCCTCTCTCTTCCTCTCTGTAAAAATTCAATAAAATATATTAAAAAAATAAAAAATAAATGAAATCATACAGTAAAAAAATAATAATAATAAATGGTTATGCTGAAAGGCAAACGAATCAGTCTGTAGTGAGTTTCTTTCTGGGCCAACAGTTTTTTTGAGACCCAATCTCAGTGTCAAACAGTTCCTTATGTGTATATGTCAGCAATGTATTTCAGTTCCGGATGGTGGACAAATGGTGGTAATGCTGGTCCGAATCTCTATGGTAATTCTTTTGAAATTAACTCACAAGTAATTTAGCCATGGGAAATATACAAGGAGGAACAATTATAAGAGGATGCCCTGGTACTTATTACCTATCTGTTTCTACAGATATTCTTATCTTGTAGAAGCTGCTCCTCCAATTTGTGTAACTTTTGGAGAAAGAGTAAATTGTATGTCAGTGAGAGGAAGTTTCCATATTTGGAACTTTATCATCTGGAATTTATATTCATATATCTCAGTGGTCATCAAACTGGGATGTACACACTGTAGAGCTGTGGAAGATGACCACTGTGGTAAGGATAATTTAAAATTCCTACTTTTTGAACATCCTTAAATAAACACGTATTAGTATAGTAGTATATGTACAGAGTTATAAACAAAAATGCTTGTAATGGCCATGTTTATTCAGAAATGTCCAGTGACAGACATGCTCAGCCAGAAAAGTTGAGACCATTACTATTTGCCCTACGTATATACGATAATTAAAGTTCATAGACAATTATGTGTGTTGTTAGGAGGTCTTGGTAAACAAGTCATATTTCAGTTCTGTAGTTTGCTATTCTGTTTTTCTGAATTTCAGTGTGAAGGGTGAAGCTGAAAATAATTCATTAATATTTTTTTTGTATCATCAGTAGCTTCTCATTTCCTCCCCTCAGCCATGTCAGTGTGCTCCCAGTAATGTCTCCGCTGTCTTTCAGTTGTTAACCAGTCCATGTAAAACATGGATAGTGCTTCATGGTTCTTATTTATTTATTTATTTACTTATTTATTTATTTTAGCTTCAGGGGCCTTGCTGAAGTTAACTCGTGGATTAAAAGATGAATCCATGGCTTATATTTATCATTGCCAGAATCATTACTTTTGTCCCATTGGCTTTGAAGCAACCCCTATTAAAGCCAATAAGGCATTCAGGTAAGCATTTCTGTATGTTATTTGGGTACTTGACCATAAAATGTAGAAAGCATTTAAGAAATATTTAGTGCTTAGAAATTGGAAGACTTAGTAATTTGCTTTCCTTATATGAAGTAATGATTTTGTAAGCATTTGAGCTTATTCTTTTGCAGAATTGCATTTGATTGAATTGTATTTATTTGACAAAATTATTTATTTTAAAATTTATGAAGCTGACTGAATTTTAGTACTCTTTCCCCTCCTTAGCAAGTTTTCTTCATGCTGGGTTGATATAATGCCAGGATAGTTAAAAGCTCAGGAAGAAGTGTCCTATTTTTGAATGATGAAAACAGAGGCCATGAATACTTTTAGTAAAAGTATTGGTAGGCATGGTTTTCTTCACCCAGTTAAGGTTCTGTTTTTGGTTTGTTTTTTTTCACACCTGAAGAGGAAGAAGAGGTAGAACACTGTCCTCTCAGAGAGGACCGAAACTGAGGCTGGGAGAATATGGCTTGGTCATCAGGGGGATGGGATGGGTTCTTTGAGGCTGGATGCTATATGAACTTTGAATCCCACTCAAGGCATTCAAAGCTGGATGCTATGTGAACTTTGAATCCCACTCAAGTTGAGCAAAGATGGAGGGTTGTGGGGGGATCCTGAGACAGGCAGGATCGAGCTGGCAGAAGCAGGATGTTGGATATTGAATTTTGTGAATGTTGGGTAAGAGGACAGCCACTTGATTTATCCAAATCCCGAAATGTTTTATTCATCTCTCCGGAGGTGAGGTATGTTGTATCTTATGTGGTTTTATCCTGCAATGTCACTTTATTTCAGACATCTATCATATGCAAAACGTGAAAAACTAGTACTTCTACTTTGTCCACTATGGAGGAGCATTTTTCACCTCTGCCTGAACCCAGGAATCACCTGAGATGCTCTTCAAACTGAAAATCCTTGCCACTCTTGACCTATCTGAATTAGAATCTCCCAGGGCAGGATTAGGGAATTAGTACGTTTAACAGTTCCATAGGCGATTCGCTGCTTTAGGGTTTTATTTTTAAGACGCCTTTTGAGACTTTTGAAATGCCTCGTAAAAGCGTAGCTGAAGAATTCTCAGAGCGTGATAGGATGCTTCCTCCCTGTTTAGATGCTGAGAGGTAGCATATGTCTACTTTTTCAGCCCTCGATTTTATAGAAGTCACGACCAAAATTTAATTTATGCTTTCTCTTTGTGTTCAGACATTTGTTCCAGCCCAAACTCCAATATCTATAAACTTTAAAATGTCTTTTATTAATATATAATTGAAGCACTATTTTCAAGGGCATAAATGACCTTCATTAAACAGACTGTCAATGTATTTTAAATCTAGCAGGGGTCCCCTCTCATCACAAGAAGTAGAATATTGGATCTTAATTGGAGAATCAAGTAGAAAACATCCTGCTATTCACTGTAAAAAGTATGTTAACTTCCTTTTTTCAATTTCTGCTGAAAAGCCTGTTGGAATTTTGATTGGAATACAATCCATAGAGTCCACAGTTTAGTTTGCAGAAAAGTACATCATAACAATATGGAGTCTTCTAATTTGTGAATATAGACTGTACTTCCATGCAATCAGAGCTTTAATTTTTCTCCTGCAATATTTTGTATTTTTCAGTACAGATTTTATGTATATTTTGTTAGCATTTTCTCCTAAGTGTATTTTCTGATGCTATTGTAAATTGATTTCTCCCCCCACTTCTATTATTTTCTGGGTACAGAAATACAATTGGTTTTTCTATATAGGCCTGAAATCTTGCATCTTTGCCAAATTCACTTATTCGTTCTGTTAGTATTTTTGCAATACAAAGCAGTTTGTAATTACTTTGGATTTTCCACACAATCATATTGTCTGTAAATAAAGGCATGTTAATTTTAAGTGTTTTGGAAATACATTTGACTCTAATTAAGGAGGAAATATAGACTGTTCCTACTTTAGCCTGCAACCTATCAATAATAGGTTGATACATATTTATTTCATAGGGAGACTAACCATTTTTAAACTGAGAACCTTGGCAATAGTTGCATAAACAGAATTGCCATAAAAACAAGTTTATTAGAACTTAGTAGGTGGAACAATCCTGAGATAAACAACTTATTGCCACAGTAATATTGTAGAATATTGCTCATGTGAAAAGTTTCATTACAGTGATATTTTGTACCAAAAAGAAAATTGTGTTTTATATTCTTCCTTCTTAACTATAGGTGGGCAGATATTGTTACTGATCTGAATACTCAAAATCCAGAATTTCTAGATATCCGGCACTTAGAGAGGGGGCTGCAGTATCGAAAAACCAAGAAGGTAAGAACGCCATTGTATGTGAAGTCATTTCCCAACTGGCCAAAATGCAATAGTTTAGATTATAAATAATAGAAACCCAGTTTAGAACAACTTTGACAGAAAAGTGAAAATTATTTTAAAACACAGGGGTATGTTAAAAAACGAAAGGGCAAGGATTGTAGCCTGGATTCATAAGGGCCTGGTCCTAGGTAAAAGAATGACAACAGAGACCAAGTAGATAGTCTGTAATTCTTTTGGAAGTTGTATGTTGTTGTCTTTTTGTCTAATTACTTACTTCCTGATGATTATCATCATTATGTCTTTTTTAGATGTGCAGTCTATACTGAGATTGGCCTGCCTCAGGCCTAGTCCCATAGTTTTGGCCCAGGTTGGCCTTACACATGGCTAGGGAATTGCCAAATCTGAGGTGTTCGCTCCTGAGCCATATTAACTGTGGCCTCAAGCAAAGCCATGTATACGAACAAGACTACTGGGGGTTTTTCTCAGAGGAAGGTAGATTCTATGGATTGAGTAGACATCCCATTGACAAATGAAGGGTGTGTAAGAGAGGAAGAGGAATGATGGTGTTTAGATCAGGCAGAAGGGGAGGTTATAGAGTAATGTGAGTGGCATGTGAGGGAAAGGTGTTTTGGCTCCTTTGTTTCCTGGTTAACTTTCCAAGGATTCTCAATAAAGAGGCAAAAAGAAAAGACTCAAGAAATTAATCCTTCCTGTTGGTGCAAATGGGTGACTTAGTGCATTCAGGATATTCTTGACTTTCTTAATTTAGTATGCTACTATCAAACATTGACAAAGGGCATTGTTACAGTTTTGTAATGACAACTGATCAGAGTAAATGCAGGATAATGTGATCTGATATTGTCTGAAAGAATAAGTACTGTTTTGAGGCAGATGAAGGGGGAACATATAAGGGAATTCATAGGAAATTCATTTCCCATCATTTTCTTCATGCAACTTTTTTTCCTTCTCAGGTTGGGGGAAATTTGCATTGTATTATAGCATTCCAGAGACTTAGTTGGCAAAGGTTTGGCCTTTGGAACTTTCCATTTGGAACCATTAGACAAGAGTCACAACCTCCAACACACGGCCAGGGAATTGCCAAATCTGAGAGTGAAGACAATATCTCCAAGAAGCATCATGGGCGCCTGGGCCGGTCTTTCAGCGCTAGTTTCCATCAGGAATCAGCATGGAAAAAAATGTCCAGTATTCATGAGAGAAGGAACAGTGGCTACCAGGGTTACAGTGATTATGGTGGGAATGATTGACTGTGCTTGGGTACTGAAAAACTCATGTTATGCAATGGTTTGTACAGGACTGCATTAAGACAGCAGAAGATCTTATTAAGTCAACTTAGAAGAGGAACAGATCTGGTGGTATAAAACGTATCCCTGTAGTTCTCCAGTAAATAAGCTTGTATATGATTCTAATGGGTGATTTCAGATATATAAGCGGATAAGCACAGACTATTTAAGGGTATATAAACATTCTGGACAGTTTAACAAACTCCAATACAATTACATATAAACAAATACAAATTTACTTAATAACATCACAATTTTAAATAGTTAATCTTGACAGGATTTATTATGACTTGATCCCAGGACATTCCTTGCAGATAGTTTTATTCCTAAACTCATTATATAAGGCAACCATCTGCCCTAAAATAAAAATAAATAAATAAAAATGGGGCTATTGGTTTCTTGTTTTCTGTCATGGTTAAAGCTTATTTAAAACTACTCAGTGAATCTGGTAATTCTTTCCCTTATAGCAGTATCTTGCCTGCCTCATTTGTTTCCTGGTTAACTTTCTCAGGATTTTTAATAAAGAGGCAAAAGAGAAAAGACTCAAGAAACTAATTCTTTCTATTGGTGCAAATGAGTGACTTAATGCATTGTTTCAGGATATTCTTGACTTTCTTGACTTGGTATGTTACTATCAAATATTGACAAGATCTTTAGGTCTTGAAAGATTTCTGTAGGTCTATAATCTGTTTTAGGCATTGAGTAAAAGAACAAGTGGCATCCATAGTTTCTATATCCATGTTAATCTGTGAAATGAGATCTGATATTTGATTAGTCCTTCAATATGGAGTTATATATTGATAACAGCATCAAAGATGTATTCAGAAGGCAATTATCCATATTCCACACACTGAGCTGTTTTCTTTTTTAAAATATTAGACAATTAGTTGTTTCAAGTGAGTGTTAAATAGTTCAGAAAGTGTGAATTTTATATATTTGAGCTCCTCTGTATTTGCTGTCAGTTTTTCTTGTGTAGTCAACTCGTGACTCACAAGGATTAGGATCTCTTGTACTTTCATTTCAGAGGCTGTTCTAGAAACCAAATCAGTAACCTGATTATTACAAGGTGCTGAATATGTTGGTAACCATATTGCAATACATCTCAAGGAGAAGGTTCAGATTTTTATTTTTAAAATATTTTTATTTTCTCTTGAATTTTATATCCATGTGTCCATTCAGACATGTGTAAGCCTACAAAAGGGGATATAAATTATGAAATGGTCATTTTTCTGAAGGAAATATTTTGCTTGAAATGCAGTGGACTGAAAGAGATTTGTAGGTTGTTAATTTTGTTACTTCATACTGGAACTTTTACGAAGTTTTCATCAAATAAATTTTTGTTTTCTACTTTTAATCATGTGAATGTTTTAACCTTTATTTTAGAGAGTTTTATCATTTTGTTTGAAGTACATAATTTATCAATTCTGTCTAAGTAGTGTGTTATAAGAAACCATCTTGTATCTGACTTTTATAATTAATGGAATAATATGCATTGACTATAATTTTAGATTTCTATAAGACTTTACAATAAGAAATTGGAAACTTAATTCTTATTAGCTTGAAACAAATGAAGTTTTCAATTTTGTAGGTCAAGCATGGTTGAATATCAACAATTTAATTTAGTTTGAATATTTCAGAGATGAGAATGAGCCTCAAGGAAATGAGACAAATGCAAGATAAAATGAAGAATATAGTGACACCTAACATTGCTAATAAGTTTGGGTTTCAAGAGCACACTGAAGTTTACAGACTTTCCAGAAACAATCAGCAAGTTACTCCACACTTCTCTTTCAATATTAGTAACACTCCTATCAGGTTTATTTTTTTGGTCAAGTCCTCTTAGGAGTGTCCATAGAAGCATTAAGGGTTCAAACACTGGCTCTGCATTTACTACCTGTATCATCTTGGGCAAAGTAAGATTTTCTTTTTTTAATGTGCTTGTTTCCTCATTGGTAAAATTGGGATAATAGTATCTATTTTATAAATTGTTTTGAATAATTAAGTAAGTACATATAAAGTGTTCAGAACAGTGCTTTATAGGTAGGAATTGCTATTTAAGTGCTTGCTATTACTCCAGAAGATGTGTATTTTACTGTTCTGAAACTTGAGAGCCCATTAATCAGCATCTCAAGGAGCTAATGGCTAATAAAAGAGACACCCCTTAGTTGCTATTCCTTCAAAAGAATATTTTGTATTTTAAGAAATGTGCTCTGGTTTTAAAAACACACATGCTCACATTAGCTTTTTTTTTTTTGACCCAGCTCTCAGTAAAAAAAAAAAAAAGTTCATTTACATAATATCCTGAAACTGTTTCTTTTCCCAGTACTATTTCCCATCATTTGGCCAAGCTGGAGCAGTAGCTATAACTTTCCATCTTGCCTTCTCCTGGACAGTGGAAGGGCTCGGGCAAGGTGCTCTAGGATGTGATGACATTCTGAATTTCAATTTTACCCAGAGCATTATCTCCTTTAATCGTTTACTTAAACTAGGCACTGTTATCCACTGGTTGTTTCATGTTAAATCTCTGATCTTGGAACAACCCCCCAAAAATGGTGGCATCTCCATTTTATTCGCAGACCCTCAATGGTGAAGAAACTTGCCTAAGATTATAGGGGATCTTAGTTTGCTAGGGCTACCACAACACCATACCACAAACTGGGTGGCTTAAACAACGGGAATTTGTTTTCTCACAGTTCTGTAAAAGCTAGAAGTCCAAGATCAAGATTTTGACGGGTTTGCTTTCTTCTCGCTGTGTCCTCACATGGTGTTTTCTCTGTGTACATATCCCTGGTGTCTCTCTGCTTCAGACCCTAGTCAGATTGGATTAGTCTCACCCTACGGGCCTTATTTTAACTTAATCAACTTTTAAAATTCTCTGTCTCCAAATACAGTCACATTATGAGTTCCTGGAGGTTAGGTCTTCAACATAATTTTGGAGGGGAACACAATTCAGCCCATTAACACGGCCTATTATTGTAGCTCAGGTGGGATCTGTACTAGTGTCATCCTGCCTGGGGAGGACATTCATTCAGCTTTGTGGAAGGAGCATGAAGAGCTTCAGAGGAAGCTGAAGAGATTTTTTTAGAAAATACATATGGAATCCCTGCCGAGTGTCAGGAGTGGGGGACATAACATTCAACAAAATAGTGCTTGGCTTCTGTGTTTACATAGTGTTTACAGTCTACTGTGGAGGGAAAAAATTGAATAGGCAATTTTATTAACCTCTGTAAAATATAACTAAGAACGATTTCTAGGAATTATCCACCTTTTGATTCTGAATCTAGTTTCAGTAATTCCATTCTGAACCAGTAGGTCAAAGCTGTCATTTATTATCTACTAATGTAAGCACTTTGCATAGAATCAGCTCTGTTCCTAGCTAAAATAGCCTGCATGACTGGTGTGATGCCCAGCTTACAAATGAAGAAACAGGATTTCTGAATCACTGGTACCTGAACTATAATGGGATGTGGTCGGATCTAAATCTTGGCCTGAGGTTTCCAGTCACTACCTTCCCGGGAACTCTTAGTTTCTTGTCATTTCTGAGTTACAGGCGGCGGAATACTAAATTTTAAATGCCAGAGAAAAATAAACTATATTTCAAGGGTTAAGGCTTTAAATCTTATTACAAGTTATCAAACAAATATTAACTAAAAACGCCAGCAGAGCATCCACCTTTCTGTTGTTGCTTTGAGTAAAAATTACTTGTAGTAATTAAGAGTGTTCACAAGTCCCTGGTCGGGTATTTCAGTTGGTAGGGGGGTCCCATCTTTATCCCAAGGTTGCAGGCTAGATCCCCGTCAGGCCACATGCCAAGAAGCAACCAAGGGATGCATCAATAAGTGAAGCAACAAACCCACGTTCCTGTCTCTATCTAAAATCAACTTAAAAACACTTTTTTTTTTTTTCTGGGTACAATGAACTTTATTAATGGTGCACAACAAAGTAGGGCTTCGCCCCTCCCCTTCTTCAGGGGGTCTGGGATGGAAACAGTGGTCAGGAGGTTCTCAGTGTGTCGGGGACTGATCCGGGGCAAGGACTCCCCAGCAGCGGAGGGCCTCTCTTCCTCTTGCTGGGGCTGGTGGTCCAGAGAGCTCTTACTCCTTGGAGGCCATGTGGACCATGAGGTCCACCACCCTGTTGCTGTAGCCGAATTCATTGTCATACCAGGAAACGAGCTTGACAAAGTGGTCATTGAGGGCAATGCCAGCCCCAGCATCAAAGATGGAGGAGTGGGTGTCACTGTTAAAGTCGCAGGAGACAACCTGGTCCTCAGTGTAGCCCAGGATGCCCTTGAGGGGGCCCTCTGCTGCCTGCTTCACCACCTTCTTGATGTCATCGTATTTGGCAGCTTTCTCCAGGCGGCAGGTCAGATCCACAACCGACACGTTGGGGACGGGGACACGGAAGGCCATGCCAGTGAGCTTCCCATTCAGCTCAGGGATGACCTTGCCCACGGCCTTGGCAGCGCCAGTAGAAGCAGGGATGATGTTCTGGGCAGCCCCTCGGCCATCGCGCCACATCTTCCCAGAGGGGCCATCCACGGTCTTCTGGGTGGCGGTGATGGCATGGACCGTGGTCATGAGTCCCTCCACGATGCCAAAGTTGTCATGGATGACCTTGGCCAGGGGGGCCAAGCAGTTGGTGGTGCAGGAGGCATTGCTGACGATCTTGAGGGAGTTGTCATACTTCTCATGGTTCACACCCATCACAAACATGGGGGCATCCGCAGAAGGGGCCGAGATGATGACCCTCTTGGCTCCGCCCTTCAAATGAGCCCCCGCCTTCTCCACGGTAGTGAAGACTCCGGTGGACTCCACAACGTACTCCGCGCCAGCATCACCCCATTTGATGTTGGCGGGATCTCGCTCCTGGAAGACGGTGATGGGCTTTCCGTTGATGACAAGCTTCCCGTTCTCGGCCTTGACGGTGCCTCCGAACTTGCCATGAGTAGAATCATACTGGAACATGTAGACCATGTAGTTGAGGTCAATGAAGGGGTCATTGATGGCGACAACTTGTACTTTGCCAGTTAACATCGCAGCCCTGGTGACCAGGCGCCCAATGCGGCCAAATCCGTTCACTCCGACCTTCACCATCGTGTCTCAGGGTGTGGCTGCTGGCACGGCACGGAGGAGAGGCTGTCTGTCCAACAGGAGGAGCAGCGAGCCTAAAAACACTTTCACAAGTAGCGGCCAGCGGGGAGAACTGATCCGCAGAAAGTCGTCGTTACCTCAGTAAGTACAGCTTTGTGCACCGTTGTAACGTTTCACGGAGACAGAACGCCAGCGAGGACTGACCAATGGAGACCTCACTTCCGGAGCGCGAGGCGCGTCCATATGGCGTCAGCTCGGGGAAGCGCGACTTCCGTTCTGCGCGCGCAGCGCATCCTATGGAAGCCCAGAAGCCCCCTTTCGCACGGGTTTCCGCACCCACTCGGGAAGATCGGTGGGGTCGGAGGGGCGCCTGCAGGCGGGTCTTCTCGCCCGCGCAGCCCCCTCACCGGGGGATCGCGCGTTAAGAGTGCGGACATTTGAAACGGAACCTTGGGGAGCCCTGCGTCGGCCGTTCTCTGGTTCCTTTTGGCTTCGGGGCGGCGGTGTCGATCGCTGCGAACTGCGGATTATTTCCATCTTTCCTGAGCGGGAGCGGGGCCGCTGTTCCTGTGTCCTGGGCGGCGAGGCAGCCGGCGGTGGAGGAATTGGAGTAAAAGGTCTCCCGCCTCTCCTCCCCCGCGCTGCGCCCCGAGACTCGCCGGCCCCATGGGAGTGCAGGGCCTGTGGAAGCTGCTGGAGTGCTCGGGCCGGCAGATCTGCCCCGAGACGCTGGAGGGGAAGATCCTGGCCGTGGGTATCCTTGACGGGGCCGCGGTGCCGGGGTGCAGGTTCGCGTCTGGGCTGTGCTCCCTCTTCGATGTTTGCTCCCAGCTCTCCAGTCCCCCAACCCCCCTGCTCTCCAGCCCCCCAACTCCCCAGCCCCCAAACTCCCCAGCTCCCCAACCCCCCTGCTCTCCAGCCCCCCAACTCCCCAGCCCCCCAACTCCCCAGCCCCCCAACCCCCAGCTCCCAACTTTTGGGTTTATCCCATAGGGGCAATGTTTTACGCTTCCCAGGAAAGGGGGGGTGAAGGTGTCTGCACACAGCGGGAGGGATGGGGAATAAAGGGGACATTTAAATGAAGGAAGCTTAGAGTAGTGTCTGTCGCTGTTAACTTCTAAAGTGTTACCCCGCCTGGGAAGTCGGGATGGAGAGAATGAAGTGGGCTTCCTACGGGCAGTGGTGCCTTTCTTTTGAGTCCTCAGTTCATGCTTGTTAGAGAGGAAGGGTGGTGTGATCAAGTGCTTGACGTTTTAATTTTTAAAATAGGAAATGTTTATGGTACTGCACAGCACGAAAAATAAAAAAGATATACGGTGAATTATTTTGCTCCCAAGACTTTAAGGACTTTTGTTTGTGTGTGTTTGGCTGGTTTTGTTTGTGTCTTTGGAATGAAATGTGTTTTTCTTCTTTACCAAAACATGTGAACTGCTCTTTCTGAAGTTGCCTTTTTCTTCTTCTTTTTTTTTTTTTTTTTTTTTTTTTTTTTTTTTTTTTAACAGTAGAACATGTTTATTTTTTTTTTTTTTTTTTTTTTTTTTTTTTTTTTTTTTTTTTTTTACATATTTTATTGATTTTTTTTTGCCCCCCTCCTTCCCTCCCATGTATCCCCTCCCTCCCCAGAGTTTTATGTCCATTGGTTGTACTTATATGCAGGTATACAAGTCCTTGGGTTGATTTATTGTCTCCCCCAGACCCTCCTCCCCTCCCCGTTGTAATTTGACAATCTGCTTGTTGCTTTACTGTCTCTATATCTATCTTTTGGTTCATCAGTTTATAATGATCTTTATTATCCACAAATGAGTGGGGTCATGTGGTGTTTCTCTTTCATTGATTGGCTTATTTCACTCAGCATGATGTTCTCCAATTCCATCCAGGTTGCTGCAAATGATGAGAATTCCTTCTTTTTTATGGCAGCATAGTATTCCATTGTGTAGATGTACCAAAGTTTTTGGATCCAGTCATCAGCTGACGGGCACCTCGGCTGTTTCCAGATTCTGGCTATTGTAGATTGTGCTGCTATGAACATAGGGGTGCATATATCCTTTCTGATTGGTGTTTCTAGTTTCTTGGGATATATTCCAAGAAGTGGGATTACTGGGTCAAATGGGAGTTCCATTCTCAGTTTTTTGAGGAAACTCCACACTGTTCTCCACAGTGGTTGCACCAGTCTGCATTCCCACCAGCAGTGCACGAGGGTTCCTTTTTCTCCGCAACCTCGCCAACACTTGTCGTTTGTTGATTTGTTGATGTTGGCCATTCTGACAGGTGTGAGATGGTACCGCATTGTTGTTTTGATTTGCATCTCTTGGATAATTAGTGACTTTGAGCATGTTTTCATGTGCCTTTTGGCCTTCTTTCTGTCTTCTTTTGTAAATATTCTATTTAGGTCCATTGCCCATTTTTTAATTGGATCATTCATCTTCCTTTTATTTAGTTGTATCAGCTGTCTGTAGATGTTGGAGATTAAACCTTTATCCGTGGTATTATTTGCAAATATATTCTCCCATACCGTGGGCTTTCTTGTTGTTTTGTTGATGGTTTCTTTTGCTGTAAAAAAACTTTTTATTTTGATGTAGTCCCATTTGTTTATTTTCTCTTTAGCTTCCATTGCCCTAGGGGCAGTATCAGTGAAGAAGTTCTTTTGGCATACGTCTGAGATTTTGCTGCCTGCGGATGCTTCTAGTATTTTTATGGTTTCCCGTCTGATGTTTAAGTCCTGTATCCATTTTGAGTTTATTTTTGTGTATGGTGTAAGTTGGTGATCTAGTTTCATTCTTTTGCATGTGTCTACCCAATTTTCCCAACACCATTTATTGAAGAAACTGTCTTGACTCCATTGTATATTCGTGCCTCCTTTGTCAAATATTAATTGAGCATAGTGATTTGGGTTGATATCTGGGTTCTCGATTCTATTCCATTGATCTATATGTCTGTTCTTGTGCCAGTACCAGGCTGTTTTGAGAACAGTGGCTTTGTAATACAGTTTGAAGTCTGGTATTGAGATCCCTCCTACTTTACCCTTCTTTCTCAGGATTGCTGTGGCTATTCGGGGTCTTTTATTGTTCCAAATGAACTTTTGGAGAGTTCTTTCTAGGTCGGTGAAATATGCCGTTGGTATTTTAATGGGGAGTGCATTGAACCTATAGATTGCTTTAGGAAGTATGGACATTTTGATGATGTTGATTCTACCGATCCATGAACATGGTATATTCTTCCATCTCTTTACATCTTCCTCTATCTCTTTTTTCAGTGTCATGTAGTTTTCTGCATATAGGTCCTTTACTTCCTTAGTTAAATTTATTCCTAGGTACCTTAATTTTTTTGGTGCGATGGTAAATGGAATTGCTTTTTTAATCTCTATTTCTATAGTTTCGCTGTTGGTGTATAGAAATGCCGTGGATTTCTTGGCATTAATTTTGTATCCTGCTACATTGCCAAATTCATTTATTAAGTCAATTAGTTTTTTAATGGAGTCTTTTGGGTTTTTTATGTACAGTATCATGTCATCTGCAAATAAGGATAACTTTACTTCTTCTTTTCCAATTTGGATGCCTTTTATGTCCTCCTCTTGTCTAATTGCAATGGCTAGTACTTCCAGTACTATGTCAAACAGGAGTGGCGAGAGTGGGCATCCCTGTCTTGTTCCTGTTCTTAGAGGGAATGGTTTTAGTTTTTGCCCATTGAGTATAATGTTGGCTGTGGGTTTATCATATATAGCTTTTATTATGTTGAGGTATGATCCTTGTACTCCCACCTTGTTAAGAGTTTTTATCAGGAAAGGGTGTTGGATTTTATCAAATGCTTTTTCTGCATCAATTGATATGACTATATGATTTTTATCTTTCAGTTTGTTTATGTGATGTATCACGTTTATTGATTTGCGGATATTGTACCATCCTTGCATTCCTGGAATAAATCCTACTTGGTCATGGTGTATGATCTTTGTGATGTTCATCTGGAGTCTATTTGCTAGAATTTTGTTGAGGATTTTGGCATCTATGTTCATGAGGGATATTGGCCTGTAATTCTCTTTCATTGAGTTGTCTTTATCTGGTTTTGGTATTAGGGTGATGCTGGCTTCATAGAAGGAGTTTGGAAGTGTTCCTTCCTCTTGGATTTTTTGGAATAGTCTGAGGAGGAAAGGTTTTAGTTCTTCCTTGAATGTTTGGTAAAACTCTCCTGTGAAGCCATCAGGCCCTGGGCTTTTGTTTGCTGGAAGCTTTTTGATGACTGTTTCAATTTCTTCCCACGTCACTGGTCTATTAAGATTTTTAGATTCTTCCTGATTGAGTTTTGGAAGGTTGTATTTTTCTAGGAATATGTCCATTTCGTCCAGGTTGTTCAGTTTGTTGGAATAGAGTTGTTCGTAGTATTTTGTAACAATCTGTTGTATTTCGGTGGGGTCTGTTGTTATTTCACCTCTTTCATTTCTGATTTTGTTTATTTGGGTCCTCTCTCTTTGTTTCTTGGTTAGCCTGGCTAGAGGTTCATCTATCTTGTTTATTCTTTCAAAAAACCAGCTCTTGGTTTTGTTGATCTTATGTATTGTTTTTTTGGTCTCTATGTCGTTTATCTGTGCTCTGATTTTTGTTATTTCCTTCCTTCTGCTTACACTGGGCTTTTCTTGTTGCTCCTTTTCTAATTCTTTGAGTTGTAGAGTTAGATCATCTGTTACCCTTTTTTCTAGTTTTTTGCAATAGGCTTGTAAGGATATGAACTTCCCTCTCAAAACTGCTTTTGCTGTGTCCCATAGATTTTGGATTGTTGTGTTTTCATTGTCATTTGTTGCCAGGATGTTTTTAATTTCTTCCTTGATTTCTCTGGTAACCCAGTCCTTGTTTAATAGCATGCTGTTTAATCTCCATGTGTTTGATTTCTTTGGATTATTTTTATTGTAGTTAATTTCCAGTTTTATGCCATTATGGTCTGAGAAGATACTTGATACGATTTCTATCTTCTTAAATTTGAAGAGACTTTGCCTATGTCCCAAAATGTGGTCTATCTTTGAGAATGTCCCATGTGCACTTGAGAAGAATGTATATTCTGCGGCTTTGGGGTGGAGTGTTCTGAAGATGTCAATTAATTCCATCTGGTCTAGTGAGTCATTTAGGATTGATATTTCTTTGCTGATTTTTTGTTTAGATGATTTGTCAAAGGGTGACAGAGGGGTATTAAAATCTCCTACTATGATTGTATTGCTATGAATCTCTCCCTTAATGTCCTCCAGCAGTTTTTTTATGTATTTGGTTGCTCCTGTATTGGGTGCATATATATTTACCAGGGTAATTTCTTCTTGTTGGATTGTTCCCTTTAGAATTATGAAGTGGCCTTCATTATCTCTTATTATGTCCTTCAATCTGAGATCTAATTTGTCAGATATAAGTATTGCTACCCCAGCTTTTTTTTCATTTCCATTTGCCTGGAAAACTTTTTTCCATCCCTTCACCCTCAGTCTGTGTGCATCTTTTTTTCTGAGGTGGGTTTCTTGTAGACAACAGATGTATGGGTCTTGTTTTCTTATCCAATCTGTTACCCTATGTCTTTTTATTGGAGCATTTAAACCATTTACATTTAAAGTTATTAATGATAGGTACTCATTTGATGCCATTTTTAATCTATACCCCTGTGTTCCTTCTTCACTTAATATTTCTTTATTTTTACAGTAGACCCCTTAGCATTTCTTGCATTGCTGGTTTGGTGGAGATAAATTCCTTCAGTCTTTTTTTGTCTGTGAAGCTCCTGATTTCCCCTTCAATTTTGATTGATAGCCTTGCTGGGTACAGTATTCTTGGATTCAGACCCTTTCTTTGCATGACTTTGTATATTTCATCCCATTCCCTTCTGGCCTGATAAGTTTCCGTTGAGAAATCAGTTGCTAGTCTGATGGGGGTTCCTTTGTATGTAACTTTCTGTCTCTCTCTGGCTGCTTTTAAGATTCTTACTTTGTCGTTGTTGTTTGCCAATTTAATTATAATATGCCTTGGAGTCTGTTTTCTGGGATTCATTTTGCTTGGGACTCTGCGAGCATCTTGGATTTGTGTGGGTTTTTTCTTCTCTATTTCAGGAAAGTTTTCTGTCATTATTTCTTGAAATACTTTTTCCATGTCTACCTCAGTTTCCTTTCCTTCTGGAACCCCTATTATTCGAATATTATTTTGTTTTGTATTGTCCCAAAGCTCCCGTAGGCTCTCCTCCTGCTTTTTAATCTTTTTTTCTAGAAGTTGCTCTACTTGGGTATATTTTTCCATCTTATCTTCTAGCTCACTGATGCGGTCCTCTGCTTCATCTAGTCTACTCTTGATGCTTTCTATTGAGTTCTTCATGGTAGCGATGTCATTTTTCATTTCCTCTTGGTTCTTCTTCAATTCCTCGTGGTTCTTCCTCATTTCTTCTTGGTTATTGTCAAATTTCTCTTCCATTCTTTTTAGCCATCCTATGATCATTATTCTGAATTCTTGCTCTGTTAGGCTGGTTGCCTCTGACTCTACTTCCTTTTCTGGTGATGCCTGCTTTTCTTTTATGTGCAGACTATGTTTTTGTCTCCCCATAGCCTCTCTTTTCAGGGTGTCTGGTTATGTGGTGTTCCTTCTGCTGCGTTGATTTAAAGGTACAATATACAACACTACCAGGTACAACACAAGAGGCACTTAACAGGAATGTATTTACAATATTAATAACCTCAAATAAAGGTGACCACTAGAGAAAGGCAACTTAGGGGTTAGGGGAGAAGGAAGAAAGGTAAAAATAAAATAAAGAAAATTTTTTATAAAATTAAAATGTAAAAAAAAATTAAGAAAATAAAATAAAAAAAGAAGGATAAAGAGATATAAAGAGAAGAAAAAAAGTAATGACAAAATAAAGTTGGAAAACAGGGAAAAAAAGAAAGGAGAGAGAGAGAGAGAGAGAGAGAGAGAGAGAGAGAGAGAAAGAAAGGGAGAGAAGAAGCAAACTAAAAGAGAAATGGGAAACAAACTATATATATGTGGAGAAAATTGCCATAGAACAACTACTGAACCCAGCCAATGCCAGTAACAATACTTGGAGATTAATACAAACTACAATATCCACTATTATTAAGTAAGTCTATGATATACAGAAGTAATAGAAACAAACAAAAACAGAGGATTTTAAAAAAAAATACAATGCAACAATAACAACACAGGAATAAGCATAACCATTTCACTAAAAAGCATAAAAATTCACAATAATCAACCCTCACACAAACAATGCGCAAAGGATAGAGGGGAGAACAGTTTTTGTTTTTTTTTTAACTAGTTAATATAGTACAGAAATTGGTATTTATACACTTGGATCAGGGGTTGGAACTTAGGTCTATACGTATAGTGAGAGCTTTAGCAAGGGGTATACAGAAAGAATAGAGGAAAATCTAGAGCCGGAAAGGGATAGGATAAACCGTTGACTAAAAGGGTAAAGTTTAGTAAGAGAGTGATGGTGTAAAGGTCAAGTTGAGATAGGGTTGAATGATGCTAAAGTAGTGATTAAAATAGAATGGAGGTTATTCCCAATGTAAAATACAGAAAAAAAATAAAATAAAATGGTACTGGAGAGGAAACAAACAGACAAACAAACAAACAAACAAACAAGAAAAAACAAAGAACAAAAAAAAAAAAAAAAAAAAAGGAAAGAAACAAAAATTGCAAAATAGCAGTAGTAATAGTGATGGTAAAGATTGAAAAATGTAATAATTGAAAAGGTAAAATGAAGTAAGGAAAAAAATAGAAAAAAATTTTCTTAAGTAAATGCTATAAAAAGTGAAAATTAAATAAAAGATGTAAAAAATGAAAATAAAATAAAGAATAGTAAAATTAGCATAAAAATGTCCAGTAGTGGTCATTCACTTCCTCTGTTAATGTATTTGGCACTCCTGATTCTCAGACCAGACAGTCTTGCAGTCCCCAGCATTCCACTGCACCTGAGTTTTGTAAGGTAAACCTTAATTTTAAGCAGGTTATATCTTAGTTATTTGTGTCCGTTTATTTTTGATTAATAAAAAGAAAAAAGAGAAAAAAGAAAAAAAAAAAAAAAAAAAAAAAAAAGGCAGTTTGTAATTCGGCTCTTAGGTGTCAGTGTTTCCGGTTTGACCTCCCAGTCTTTTTGGTTGCTCTGGCCTTCTTTCTCTATGGCTCTAGCTGGCTCCAGGACTATGTCTTCTGGCTCCAATCCCTTGTTTCCAGAAGGCAAATTCCCCCTACAATTTCCCCGGCTATGCTCAACTGGGCAGTTCTTCTCTAGTATTCAGAAGCAAGGGGATGAATGGGAACCGGTGCCAAGGTGTCCAGATGTTCCGCCCTTGGCGGGACAGCCGCTATTCTTAACACACTGTCCCTTGTCCCCTGGCGTTTTAAAAAAGCCCCTCTTCTGGGGGGGATTACTTCAAACCCAGCACTAGGTGTCGCTGTAGCCTTCTCTGGGCTCCACTCCGCCTCCGCGGGCTGTAGTTCGCGCACCCGTCTACAGTGGAGGCAGGGCTGGAGCTCCCCGGCTACCGTAGCAGAGGCGGGCCGGAGCTCCCCGGCTGCCGTAGTGGAGGCGGGGCCGGAGCTCGCCGCCGCGGAACCCAGATCCCTTAGGCTATCCCCGCAAACTCTGACCTTTCCGTGGGTGACTGAAGATCTCCCCGGAATCCACGTGTCTGCGCAGCTCTGGGAGTCTCAGCTGCTCGATGGACCTCCGGGCTGTGCGTTTTCCACGCCTCAGAGAAGCTCTTTCCTTCCTGGCAAGACAATGCAGCCCTTCCTCCACGCCCGCAGCCCACCGCACGCTGCCTCCGCTGCCCCCGCCGCTGCTGCTGCTGCTGCTGCAGCTGCTGCTGCTGCTGCTGCCGCGGCCGTCCTGGCCACTTGGTCAGGAAATCCTGTCCAGCGGACTCTCCCTTACCCTCCTTGAGAGCTCCGCTGTCCCTTAGCTGCCAATCAACTCTCCCTGAGCGACTCAGAAGCCCCCTTTATCCGTTCTGGAACCAGAGTCAGAATAGGTCCGACTATTCGGTCGCCATCTTCAAGCTCCGCCCTCTCCTTTTTCTTCTTCTTTTTGAGAGTCTTTTATGTTCTGGAAGCTCGTGGTAACTTACACCACTTCCCTAAATGAGAACCTATAAGTAATGTAATTATTATCATACTATTTTTTTATGCAGAGCACCTTAGGGAAAAGGGAGTGTGTGTGTGTGTGTGTGTGTGTGTGTGTGTGTGTGTGTAAGCATAGGTGTTATTGCTGCCCTCTAATGGTTCCTCAAATCACTGCTTTCTAAAGATTTTCTTCATAGAACTATATGTGAAAGAAAGCAGTTTTGTCGCAGGAGTCTTTAAAACTGCAGTAAAGATTTAGGCCATTTTACAGTGTAGCCCATATGAAGATTTCATTATTTGTAAATGCATTGAGATGACACATGAAGTTGAACATTCCAGTTTTTTAGGAAGTTGTCCAACGTAAGGAAAGGCAGAGCATTTAATTTAGATGATCTGTTTTCAGAAGACTTAGCTCTTTTCCGACATGAAATGATTTTCATGGGGGTTTGGAGCTTTTTTTTTTTTTTTTTTTTTTTTTTTTTAATGAATCATTTAAAAGGAATGTCACAAGTTGTTCTCCAAAAGAGTTGTGCTAATTTATTACAATTCCATAGAGATTATTAGATTTTTTTAAAGTATAATTTTTTTTGAAGTTAGACTTCTTAAGAGGATACTTATGTGTATGTAAGATTTTAGAATTCAGTGTGTGAATAGTAGAAATAAAGTTCATTGGTTTTAAGTAGATTTCTTCATGATTGTGATGAGTCCTTAGTTTCATCTTTTGGATGATATCAGTTATTAGGAATTTGAAATTGGGAGATTGAGGAAAGAGACTCCAAAATGTTGTCCTTAACAGTTCTTCTAGATATTAGCATTTGGTTAAACCAAGCACTTAAAGGAGTCCGGGATCGCCATGGGAACTCAATAGAAAATGCTCATCTTCTCACTTTGTTTCATCGGCTCTGCAAACTCTTGTTTTTCCGAATTCGTCCTATTTTTGTGTTTGATGGGGATGCTCCGCTACTGAAGAAACAGACTTTGGTAAGAATCTTCCATCTTCTTTTTCTGTCCACTTTCTCAGAAAGAAAGAAAAGTTCAGATAAAATTTTAACTTTCTCTTTAGAATTTTGGAAACCAAGATTTATCTTGACATATGTACAATTTAATTTAAATTTTCTTGAACAAATAAACACTTTTTCTTTGAAAAAAAAAGGTTGATATGTGAGACTATATCATGGTGGCAATGATAAAATTTAACTTTTAATAAAAGAATGAAATTGTTACATTTGAGCTGAAACCGGTTTGGCTCAATGGATAGAGCGTCAACTTGGGGACTGAAAGATCCCAGGTTCGATTCCGGTCAAGGGCATGTACCTTGGTTGCGGGCATATCCCCAGTAGAGGGTATGCAAGAGGCAGCTGATCAATGACTCTCTCTCATCGCTGTTTCTAACTCTCTATCTCTCTCCCTTCCTCTCTGTACAAAATCAATAAAATATATTAAAAAAATTGTTACATTCGAGACCTTATCATTTAGAGTGTTTTCCTAGGTGTTCTACATTTGTTCTGGTTATGTTTTTACTGTGTAGAGCATTATAGAACATCTATAGGGGAAATGGCTCCCTGAGTCTGAGATGAAGGGTCATCCATGATGGTTAGCCTTCTTTTAAAGGTGAATTGAATTTTAGGAGTGAGCAATGTTATGTGTTGCCAAGTTTGATTAAATGGTTATAAAAGAATGAGAATAAGTTTATTCTGAAATTAGTTTGAAAAGTGTTTGAACAATGTTGTGAATTTTGAAGTAATTAGATATATGACCTTTATATGTTGAAAATGTCAGCTCATGACCTTGTAATCGTACCAGACAGGTACTGAATGAGGGTCTAGGGTAAAAGTAAGGATCTATAAATGCTTGTGGACATTTGTCACCTCAGTAAAAGATCTAGTCTTGAATGTTTTTAATTATATTCTATATCAGGTAGTCTTTGCAAGGATTAGAAAGAAAGAGAACTCCAGAACTTTTTTATCTACTGGTTTTAAGTTTGTATGGACCCTTATACAATATATCTACAGTTTTCCCACTCCTGATAAAGGAGTTAGCTCTACCTTAGCAATCATATTGCAATATATGAATGGGTCAAACCAACACATTGTACACCTTCAACTATGTTATATTATCAAATCTCGATTTCAAAAGGATGTTTTGGTATTTCTGCCTTATATTCAACCATAAGCATGGATACTCTAATTTTTCCCTACTTGGACATTCCTTACAAGGTATTCTAGTACATTTTAGGATTTCTTATGATATAATCATGAATGTTAAAGGACAGAGTTCCATATAAGTAATGTATTTTTTATAAAAAACCAATGTCAGAAATTGGTTTTGGCATAGCAGTGGCATTTCAAAGAATAAGTTAATATAATCCCTTTTGGGGAAGCATCTACTTCATTATATGTCATTAAGTTTTAGGCTTCTTGAAGACTGTTAAAAGAAACTGCAAGTAAATTAATATATATAATATCCAGTCTATTAAGTAGTAGCTAAATGGAGACTAGGCGTACTTTACATGTGAGAAAACTGAAGATAGCCACTGACTCAGCAACTACAGGAAATACTAAAATAGCTGTCGTTTAAAGTTTGGAAAACCAAATTCTAGGGGGAAAAATCGCAGAAATGTCTTTAACATACTAATACTCTGAGGTAAAGTCTGTGTCCATTCTTTTCACAGGCTAAGAGAAGGCATAAAAAAGATTTGGCAACCAGTGACTCTAAAAAAACTACAGAAAAGCTTTTGAAAACATTTTTGAAAAGACAAGCTATCAAAACTGCCTTAAGAAGCAAAAGGTAAGAGGGAAATTACCTTTTTTTAAAGATTAATTTAAGCCTTTTTAATTTTAAAGTTTAATTTAAGCATTTTTAATTTTTGTATTGGATTCCTGTGGCTGCCTTTTCCTAATTTTAACTCAGGAGAGAGAGTGAAATGAGAGGAATAGGTGGGATGTCCCTTTGACCTAATAATTTGAGGTTTTGGAAATTCTCTGTTCTGTGTGAGTTAGCTTTGATGAGAAGAAAAGCTGTAGTGTTGCCCTGCATGCACGTTTTACTTGTGTAAGGTTCTTTTTCATGTCACACTGCAGGCTGTAACCCAGCCCTGAGGCACTGCAGTAGTTTCCTCTCTTTCTGGGCTGTACTTATTTCTCACAGCAGTGGCCTGGGCAGCCATTGCCCTGTGTTTTCCCCTTTCTCACCTCCTCAGCACCCTTTTTGTAATCAGTGGGCGAGTACTACTAATCCAAAGTGCTGTTTCCTATCATCTCTGCTTAAGCCTGTGTGTACCTTCCAGAGATGAAGCACTACCCAGTCTTACTCAAGTTAAAAGAGAAGATGACATCTATGCTTTGCCACCTTTACAAGCGGAAGAAAAAAACAGGTAAATGTTTATTTTAAAATATTTATGATCACTGTATTCAGACAGACGTAACCCTTTATGTCTAATCTACATGCTAAGGCATGAGGAAATTAATGCACCTAAAATATGCATTCTTGACCCTGTTTAGACTATTTTTGAAAACTAAATTTTTTACCGGTAACTCTCAGTGTTGTGGTGGTTTGTGATGGTTTCTTTTTCTTTCTGTAGAGCCTCTACCAGGACTGTTGTTTTATAATTCATGAAACATGGATCTTAGTTTTTCAGATCTTTGCAGATCTCAGTGTAACATGGTGCCTGCTGAGAACCTCTCTGGCCACTCTTTCTCGGCTTCTTTGTGGATTCTTTCTGGCTGGCTATTAATTGTCAGCGGCTTCTATGGTTGAGGTGCAGGTAGAGGACCAGTTATGCCCTCCACCTGCCCTCATTTCTTTCTGTAGGGACTCTGGGAGGCGAGGTAACTTCTGAATCAGCCCAGTTCTCTTTATCTTCATCACTGTAATCTTGTCTCGGTTACTATAATGGCTTCCAAATCTCTTTCTCTGTCTCTGGTCTTATTCCTTTATAGCAAACCCTCCCTGCGAAGCTTTATAGTGTAGAATAGAATCTATTAAATCCCAAATCTGATATTGTCTTTTTCTTGCTTAAAACATTTCCTAGCTTCTAATTTTGTTTATTAAGGACAAAACTTCAACCCTTTAACCACATGCTTTCCTAAATGGTATAATTGCAGGAAATTCCAGAAAGCTTTCATGATATCCCAAATTCGGGTGAGGTGACTTATCATACTCTGGCCAACCTGCTCTTTCCTTGTGCTGGAAGTTCTTAGGTCATATTGTGATTGTCCCCACCAGACTGTAAAACATCTTATTCATGCCATCTTATTCATCATTGTAGCCCCTCCAGGTAGCAGTACTTTGAACTCAAGAAATATTGAATCACATATTAAATATTTCATTAAATCACTACATCACATATATTGTAAATGTATGCTTGACTTTCAGTTCAGAAGAGGAAGATGAAAAAGAATGGCAAGAACGAATGAGTCAAAAACAAGCATTACAGGTATTGAAATAATTTTCGAATTCAGAATTTATGCTGTTATTTGAAATGAATGCATAAAAATTAATAATTTTAATGTAGTATGAATTTTGAAAAGTATCTTAAAAATAATAAAGATAGATGCCTCTCATTGTGTGTATGTGTATTATATTTGTATATATGTTTATATACGTATATATACAATACACAGATGCATACACATATATATGGAATTATGCATAACTAGATATCCAAAAAAAGCTGTTTTTCTTTTATAAGATACCAATTAGTACATAAATAGAAATAGTTATATATATTCATGTAAAATACAGCCACAAACCACCCACAAATAACTTCTAGTAATATTTTGGTATATACTAGTTCATCCCCTATCCCTTGTATGGTTGAGTGTGTGAGTATTCGATTATATGTATGCATATATGTACTATGTCTGTTTTTAAAAAATATATATATTTTATTGATTTTTCTCATAGAGAGGAAGGGAGAGGGATAGAAAGCCAGAAACATTGATGAGAGGGAAACATCGATCAGCTGCCTCCTGCACACCCACTACTGGGAATGTGCCCACAACCAATGTATATGCCCTTGACTGGAATCGAACCCGGGACCCTTCAGTCCGCAGGCTGACACTCTATCCACTGAGTCAAACGGGTTTCGGCTATGTCTGTTATTATATGCTTCAGTTATCTATTACTGTGTAACTTAGTGGAGTGAAAACAGTCATTTATTATCATCATCTTTCAGTGTTCAGAAGGTTGATGAACTCAGTGAGGCAGTTCCCTCTCAGTGTCTCCTGTGTAAGTGCAGTCAGATTGTAGCTGGGGCTGGAGTCCTCAAACGCCACCTCCCTTGCATGTTTAAATTCATAAGGTTCATCCCTGCCTCAGGGCCTTTGCACTTGGTATTCTCTCCGGCTGGAATGCTCTATCCTTAATCAGGCGTTTTGTCATCTTTTACATCCCTGCACAAAGTCATTTTTTAGTGGGATCTTATCTATTTTTCTCTTTCTCTTTTTTTAAAAATTTTCACCCAAGGATATGTTTTTACTGATTTTAGAGAGAGAGGAAGGGAGAGTGAAACATTGATTGGTTGTCTCTGGTACGTGCCTTGAATGGGAATCAAACCCACAACCTAAGTATGTGTTCTGATCAGGAATCGAATGTACTACCTTTGGTATATGGTACAACACTGCAACTAACTGAGCCAGGCACTCGCTCTCTATTCTAATTAACTCTCTTAGTAGAATAGCCTGTTTTATTTTCTCATTGTATCTTGTTTATGTATTTATTTATCATATATCTTCCTTCACTCTTAAGAGTACGTACCATATCTGGCATGATCTCCATAGTACTCTAGCTCCTGGCACAGTGCTTGTCACATTATAGGTGCCTGGTAAGTAATTTTCCTTTTGAATATATGAATGAGTGAATGAATATATTCCCTAATGTGCCATTCACTTTCATGCCTATTGCAGATTATGTGCAACTGTGTTTAGCCTGTTGTAGATTATGTAGAACTCTGTTTATGATATAAGCACAAGATGTATCTGTCATGGTGAATAGCATTAAGTGTATGAAATGATAATTTTATGGTGTTATGTTTTATTCCTTACAGGAAGAGTTCTTTCAGAATCCTCATGCAGTAGATATTGAGTCTGAAGACTTTAGCAGCCTGCCCCCTGAAATAAAGCATGAAATCTTGACTGACATGAAAGAATTTACCAAGAGAAGAAGAACATTATTTGAAGCAATGCCAGAGGTAATATTAATATATATTTTATATATATATATATGTATAAAACAGCACATTAATGCATAGAATTGAGAACTGCAGAAATATTTTTCATTAGAAAAAAGAAAATTGATAAGCATTATTTATAATGTTTCCAGTAAACAGCATTTGTGGAACATCATATACATGGTGTCCCCCCAAAATGTATACACACTTTAATAGCTGATAGCTAAATTGATGTTTGTTTCTTTTCAGATTTAAACTAATGGAATTAAAAATTATTCAAAGTATGTATACATTTTATTTTAATTCTCAACTTTTTTATTTTATAGGTATTATATATGTGTAATTCACATATATATATTAGATGTACAGTTTATTTCTTATGTATAAATACTGCACCCAGGTCAAGATATGGGACATTTTCAGAACTTCAGCAATCATGGGATAAATACATAAACAAATGCTCATAAGCAGAAGCCTACCTCTCTTGCCTCCACTCCTTTTCTATAAACAATACCCCTAAGCATACAAGTCTTCTGTTTCTTTCTCTGTGTTTCTGTCTCTTTGTCTCTCTTACACACACATGCATGTACACACACACATGCACACACGCACACACACACACACACACACATGCACACACACACACACATTCAAGAGAGAGAGGGAAAAAAAAGCAGGGCTTGAACCATGCCACCAAGAACTCCTGTTTTGTGAGAAAGCCCCACCACTGAGCAGCTGAATGCAGAAACCAGGAAAAGGTTTCCAGTGACCCATGACCTTGAAATCTCACCTACACAGGTCATTCATTTAAAATAACTGCCATGTTAATCCAATGGCTGCAGTTACCAAACTCCAGTTTCTTTGCTCAGACACTAAATCTATATGACCCAGGTACCTGCTCGCACAGTCACCCAGTCCCTTACGGTATAGATTAAAATGGCATGGGATTTCTCTATCTATGAAGTGGAAAGTTGCCAGGGTTCTTGTTCTAGCATTACAAAGGGTTCAGCAATCTGGAGAAAAGCTGTGTGTAGATTATGTAAGAGTCCAAAGACGATAGATAATTTTGAAAGGCATTGTGGGTCAGAGGAGCTTTAGCTAAAGGAGCTAAAGTTCTCCTTGTCTCAGGACCTTTGCTTTTTATTAACACAATTTGTCCTAAGGCAAGGTGGAGATAATACACTTCAAAGGGTAAGAAACATTGTCAGATTGGGGAATAGCCTAGAGCTGTTCAGGTGTTTAGCCAACTGGAGGCAGTAACATGTAGATTGAGATGCCCTTCGCTATCTGGCAGCAAACAATCATCCTATACAGGTTTGGGATAAGTGCCTTTCAGCCATTCCAACAGGTGATTACAGCCCTTGTTAAGCCCCCAAGTTTCATCAACCTTTTGACAAAAGGCTTGTAATTATGACATGCTGGACTCTTAGACACAATTTCCCAGGGCCTGGCTCTTTCAGAAGAATCAGCCTTTCTTGGGAGATTAGAATAAGCTTCAATGTAGTTGTGAGAAAAAATGACTATGAGAGATCCTTAGAAACACACACATATACTAACAAGCTGCTTGCATATCCATGTTTCCTCAAAAAGTAATGAAGTCCAACTCACTTCCTAAATACAAGTCCAAAAGTTATTCTGCATGTTTAGTTTGCACAGTAGGATCCTTTCCAGTGGATATTTAAATAGAAGACAATGTTTTGAACAGGCCGACTTTATTTATTTATTTTTTTTGTATACCTTTATCAACCCATCAACTGTCATGGTAATGCTTTGTTTAAATTTTCTGTGAAACACAACTGCTCTTGATGGAATAAAGTCACTACCAAAAAATTTTTTAGAGGAAGATGTTTAGTGTAGTTTTAATCCAAAGCAAATGTGTTTTGAGAGGAGAGGTTGATGATACTATCCTACTCTTAAACTTGCTCTTCTTTTTTTTTTTAACTTTGACACCCTGTATTTATAAGTTTGAATTTGCAAATATTTACTCAAAGAAAGGTTTTTTGATTTCCATCCAAGAACAGATCTTGTCTCCTGCTTTGTTATTTTCATTTCTCTCTTATACTTTTTTAGCACCCAGATATGCTTATCTTGCTCACTTCTGTATTTTCAACACCTAGCTCAGTATCTTTCACATTGTCAGTGCCCATTATATGTTTAAGTGGTTCAATTCTTAGGTGAGTTCATAAAAGTTATTTTAACCCATAATATTCATTGTAGAATTTGAAGAGTAATATAGAACCTAATCATATTGGAAAAGTTTGTTCTAACTGGAAATTCCATGTACTTCTTCCTCTGTTAGAAGGCAGGAAATGCAGTTGTATCTCCATGTTCCCTCTTTTTTTCTGGACATTGGTAATAGGGAATTTAGTGAGAAATTCTTTAAATTAGAACATTTGGTAGTGGCTCCACAGCCACAGAAACCCCCAGTGGGGTGCTGTGTGGAATTGGGTTTTATTGAGCATATCTCCTGATCATGCTACAACCATTAATTTTTACTATCTTTAGTTGGTCAATGAATTTTGTTTTTCTTTTTACTGCTACCACCTATTAATTCTAACATTGTTCTTCTTTAACTCATTGTATCTAGGTCAGAATGTAAATTTTTGCAGCACTATTACTCCTAATGAATGGATTTGGTATTCTTTTTTCTACAGACTTTTGAACATTTTTTAAATTGATAACAAAATATGAAAAAGGCAGGAGAGACTTCTTTTCCCATCACTCCTTGGTATTTTCTCTGGCTGGAATGCTCTGTCCTTAATCTGTTTTTCCATGAAGAATGTGAACACAGGCCATAGCCAAGGTATACAGAAATGATATGCAAAGCACAGAAGTAAATTTATTTTTATTTCAAGGGAAAAATCCAGGCTCAGTCTACCAATCAAGCATTTTATTTCATGAGTGTGAAAGGATCTTTGGCTGGTCTTTGAGAAAATAGAATTTGGATTATGTAAACAACAATGGGAAAGGGAGCAAGAGACAGTCCCTAATGACTTGCTCCACTTGCTTTTCTTTCTGCCACCACACAGCCTCTGGGATCTGTAGACTAGGGTAGCAGAGTGCAGCAGCTCATTGGATGAGTAATTCTCACAGCTAAGGGAAGTTCTAAGTGATTCAGGTTGGGTCGTTGTGTCATCTCTACAGTGGGCAAATACAACCCGTGCACCAGGCCTCTAATATAGGATAAGGGTTAATCAAAGATCTGCTTTTGATCCCAGATCTATCACTGACTAGCTGTGTGCTTCTAGGAAGGGTACTTAACCTATTTAAGTCTTAGTTTTTTCATTTTTAGATTGGAGATATTGACATTTGTCTCATCAGTGGTTGAAAATAAAGTGGGATAATAATTGGAAGAATGCCTTACACAGGAAATGCTTTGCAAATGTTTACTATTAATAACTGTGGTTGCTATGATTTATTGTTTATCTGTTGTGGGCCAGGAACTATGCTGGGCACTTTATTTGCCTATTTAGGTACCTTCTAGAAAGTTGTCTCATCTGTTAATCCATAATAAAAATGTCACAGTGCCTGGCGTGCATCACATGCTTAAGCCATGTATTTTTATTGAGTGATTAAATCATGAACAGTAGCCATGGTTTCTTTTGTTTTGCTCAATTTTTTTGTTTTAAAGATTATGTTATTGTTTTTTCCTAAGTTCTCAAATTTTACTTTTATAATATGAAAATACCACCAATGAAAAAAAAAATTAACTGCTCTTTGTTCACCTTTTGGGAAAGAGATGTGTGTATAGTAATATGTATACTTAATATAAATTCATTTACTTGTTTGCTTTAGGAGTCCAATGACTTTTCACAATACCAGCTCAAAGGCTTACTTAAAAAAAACTATCTCAACCAACACATAGAAAATGTCCAAAAGGAAATGAATCAGCAGCATTCAGGACAAATCCAAAGACAATATGAAGAGGAAGGGGGCTTTTTGAAAGAGGTGGAGTCAAGAAGAGTGGTCTCTGAAGATACTTCACATTACATCTTGATAAAAGGTATTGGGCACCATCATTTATTTGACAGTTAAAAGCCAACAATGTGTTGTGTCTCTGAACTCTATTAACTACCACTCCTGGATAATATTAATGAAATATTATTATTACTTATGTAATAATAATTATGTAAAGTTATTAATGAATTACCTATTTTAATGGGTTGTGCCAACCCACTTTAATATTAACTAATGAGTTAACTCTTTAATTGCTGATTAAATGAAAATGTATAACTCCATTTGTGAGAATCAGTATACTCTTGTTCATGTTACTAGCAGTATTATACTGTAAATCTACATAGTTTTACTTTTTCTTAAGGTCTACAAGCAAAGAAAGTTGCAGATATGGACTCAGAGTCTTTTCCATCTTCCAGCAAAATGCACAATGTGTCTTTTGACATAAAGTCATCTCCATGTGAAAAACTAAAGCCAGAGAAAGATCCTGATGCAACCCCTCCTTCTCCAAGAACTGTACTGGCCATGCAAGCTGCCATGTTGGGAAGTAGCTCCGAAGAGGAGCTGGAGAGTGAGAATCAAAGGCAGCACGATAAGAGGAATGCTTTTACTACTGGAGATGAGGGCTCCGTATCACCACGGACTCTCTTGGCTATTCAGAAAGCTCTGGATGATGATGAAGACGTGAAAGTGCATGCTGGGAATGATGTGCAGACTGGAGGGTCAGCAGCAAAAAAACCGGTTATGAGCAGTTCTGATGAGGAAACTGATGAAGGACTTCAAATAAGAGAGAGAAAAGGAATGCTGTTGACAACAGTGTCTCCTTCAACCAGTGTGAGCTTTGTAGAGGAGCGTGGAACCTGCACTAATAATGAAAAAGAGGTGGCTGACTCAGCCCCTTTGTCAAGTACTGTCTTTTGTGAAGCCAGTGAATCTGACATTCCAAAAGAACAAATGTCATTTAGTCACAAGGTTAACAAAGCCTTTCAGACAAGTGATGAGCCTATGGTCAATGATAGGAAAGATTCATTTCCTTTGGAAAACACAGTGGTTATACACATGAATGCACCTGGGCTCCTGAGTGAAGGAGAACTGACATCAGCACCTTCTGTCAATCCAAGTTCTGTATCAGAGAATAAAACATACACCAAAGTGCTTGAGATACAACAAGATCTTTGTCCATCTGAGGTTAAATATGATTCTTCTGTTCTTTCAAGTGATGATGAATGTGAAAAAAATCCCGATTCTAAAGTTATTGCTACTGTCAGTTTACAAGAAACAAGTAACATACTAAGTATCCCATCAGAGGCAATAAGTAACTTAGAAAATGCTAAAGAGCATGAGAATTTCCTGAAAACCATCCAAGAATGTGAGACAATGGAATCTTCAGGCCAGGGTTTAATTTCAGCTCCAAAGTCTGTGGAACTGATGGAAAGCAACTCGGAGGAAAGTGAATCTGATGGTAGGTGCTTATTCTGTTCTCTTTTAGAGATAAGGATGGTGGTACTTCACATTTGTGGGAACTGAGAGATCTTTTATTGTGGTCCAGTTGCCACGCTGTTCAGTTGAAGACCTAGGGACCTAGAAAGGTGAAATGACTTTCCCAAGGGCACACAGCTAGTGGTGGAATCTTTTTTTTTTTTTTTTTTTAAATATATATATTTTATTGATTTTTTATAGAGAGGAAGGGAGAGAGAGAGAGATAGAGAGTTAGAAACATCGATGAGAGAGAAACATAGATCAGCTGCCTCCTGTATACCCCCTACTGGAGATGTGCTCGCAACCAAGGTACATGCCCTTGCCCGGAATGGAACCTGGGACCTTTCAGTCCGCAGGCTGACTCTCTATCCACTGAGCCAAACCGGTTTCGGCTAGTGATAGTGACCTTTCCTGTTTTGCTATTCTTTTTGTATTTATTTTTAAAGGGAGGGAGTACCCAAATTGGAGAAGATAAAAAGTTTCCTTTCAGTTCTTTTAACTTTATTTTGAATTAATTACAAACTTGAAGTCAAAAGAATATTATACAACATTCTGATTCCTTATCTAATATCTCAGTAGCTGGGCATTTTACCACGTTGGCTTTATTATATCTCTCTAGTTAAGTATATTATATATCTATTTTTATTTTTCAGTCAAACACCATTATTTATAGATTCCGTATTTGCAGAATTTATTTGTAACCCCAGCATAAATACTCAGCACATTGTTTGTGGTCATTGATTGTTTGTGGACATGCATAGAGCAGCTAAAAATTTGAGTTACTACACTGATCCCAGCTGAGGTTGAGCAAGGTGACACTCTGCCTTTTTGCTTCAGTTCTCCTACAGAGACCAGAAGGTGGAGATGGGAGAGAACAGTGCAGTGTAGATCAAGAAGCTTTGGTTCTAGGACCAGTTGGATAGGTTTGACTCTTAGTTCTGGCACCAGCTAGGAGGATGGCTTTAGGCAAGTCTTCTAACACCCCTGAACTTTGTTTTCTTGTTTGTAAAATAAGGAAAATAGAATTTACCAAGATGGGTTGCTTTTAGGGTTTAGAATTATAAATGTATTTTCTTGAGGTACAAAGTTTCAGTATTCATGTATTTAGTGTTCTCAGTGACTTTATTTATAGAACGTAATTGCTGCAAATAAGAATAAATGACCAAAACTGCTTTGGTTCAGTGGATAGAGTGGATAGACTGAAAGGTCCCAGGTTCGATTCCCGTCAAGGGCATGTACCTTGGTTGCAGGCACATTCCCGGTAGGGGGTGTGCAAGAGGCAGCTGATCGATGATTCTCTCTCATCGATGTTTCTAACTCTCTATCCCTCTCTCTTTCTCTCTGTAAAAAATCAATAAAATATATATTTTTTGAAAACTTAAAAAAAAAAAAAGATCCTTGATTAACCTTATTAAAAAAAAAAAAAGAATAAATGACTATGCAACCCTCTTAACTCCCTCCCACCTCCCCTATATCCACACCTGGTCATTTTTTTCCTAGTGTTTGCCAGGTTACTCCCATTTAAATGTTGGTATTTTCCTTTTGTAATGAGAAGTATTTTATAGAAAGGAGTATTTGGGTCTATGTAAATATGCTGTTACTAATCAAACCTTCACCCACTTTTTTTTTTTTTTTTTTTAGCATCCATTGATGATTTTTACCTGAATAAATTATGCTATCATGGTTGCCAAATGGGGTTTTTAAACTCTGTTTATTATATATTGTTGGCATCCTACTCCCATTTATTATTTTTTCTATCAGTTTAAACTCATGGACTCCTATTTTATCTAGAAGTTATGGTACTGCCATACTTTGTTGTTTGAATTGTCTTAGCTTTGGCCAGTATCCAGTTTATCCCTTCAAGTTGGCTCCTGTGACTTCTGACAATTACCAGTTCATTTTGAGCATTTCTTTACTTCCTGGCCAAGACAGCAAGGTTCATCTTGTACTTTCCCTGCCCTTCCCTGAAACCAGCCATTTTGCCCAAGAGCCCTGGTTCCTTGTAATGGCATGGTGTTTAGAAACCAAGATCTGTTATTGGAGCACCATTGCTTCAGGCCCTCTTAGCAGCAGAGCCAGGACATATGTTTATACACACGTGCACGCACACATCTAATTTATTCCTACCTATATATTAAAATCCATAAATTCACACTGATATTGGCACTTCCAGCCCAGCATCACAGATTTCATTCTAGTCTCCACCTTCCTTGAAATTTCTCTAACAGTGAAGAATCTTGCTCTC